ACTGAATACATCTGCGCCATTGACAACGACTTTGAGCCATGTCACCTATTGTCGCCAGCCATTGATTCTTAGAGTCCCGAGGGCCCCAACCCGGAAGTCTGCATCTCCCTCCCTACCTGACTCAGTTTAACTGTCAGGGACTTCATGGATTGATGAGGCCATGTTTTTGTTTGGCCACCACTTACTCTTTTCCAACCTGCACCTATATCAGCTAGTGATGCCCGTCCGTCGGTGGAGGTGGTGGTTGGGCAAGCGCAGCACGTGACCTAGCCATCTCAATCTATGTAACTTTATAGCCTGGTCGATTGATTTTCCCTCTTTGCCCAACCAACTCTCTACGCCTAACGTCAACATTACTTACACTATTATACCACCTAACGCGAGAAAGAGATCGTAAACATCTGTAGTCAAAAGCAGACAATCTCTTCATGTCTTCCGCTCTCAATGGCCACGTCTCACCGCCATAGAGAAGGACGGAACGAACTGCTGAGCAGTATACACGTCCCTTGATTGATAGCCGGATGTCACGCCTACGCCAGAGATAGCGTAAGTTAGCGAAAGCAGCTCGAGCTTTTTGGATCCGTGCTGAGATTTTGTCGCCAATCAGTCTGTTGGTGCTGATACAACTTCCCTAATAGGTGAAGTAGTCAACATGTTCTATCACTTCACTCCCTATCACTAAGCTAGGAGTTGACGTAGTCCAGTCATTCCTGTAGCAGCATCTTACATTTCACAAGGGCGAATCGCATGCCAAACATACGAAGATTGCTGCTCAAGGTGTTCAGAAGACTCTGCATTTTGTCAGCATCCTCCCCTAACAGGACTATGTCGTCTATATATTCTAAGTCCATAAGAATATTCCCTGGTAACAAGTCGATTCCTAAGTCGTTAAGTTCACTTAAGGATACTTCCATTAGCATATCTATGATGAAGTTAAACAGAAATGGGGAAGTGGACATCCTTGACGGACACCACTGGTTGTTATCAATTCAGATGACAATTCCCCAAAAGCCCTTACATGGCTACGTCAGTTTAAGTAGAGTGCCCTGATCAGTGCAATGTACTTTCTTGGCACTCCCTTCACAGTCAAACATTGCCATAGTACCTCTCTATCCACGGAGTCGAAGGCCGCCTTCAAGTCACGAAATATGGCAATTGTTGGACGCCTGAAAGTGTGTCTATGTTCTAGGATATGTCGGAGAGGCACGGATATCCAGACCAGAAGGATGTGATTGTCTTAAAGTGGCAACCCCACACTCTGGAAAGGCTTCGATTTGAAGTCTAACTCACAAGGCAGTGGAGTGGTGTCACTGGATACATTCTCGCATGATGTTCCCTGAGCAATAACAGCTCCATACTCCATTCTGGATTCTGCAGCCTATGTACAACCTAGGTTTTCCAGCTCCCCTAGCTAGGCGATCAACATGTTTACAAGTCTCGTTTTAAGTGCCACACGTTCCAACTAATTTCACTTTTGTGTGGAAAACTTCTGTGTGTGAAAGCAGGGAATGGTGTTATGTCAATGTAATGTAAAATAATTCAGTCCTATTACGGCGTATGCTACTGATAAGACTTTTCAGTAGTATATAAAGAGACATTCATTGCCATAAAAACATCAAATAGCAGGGCGATACATTCGATTCCAGAGAAGGCAAATGATACAGTGTTATGGAGATACAAGAGAGGCGTGTAAAAGGAACACAAAGAGACACAATATAAAGTCCGGAAGTATCACAACACGAAGATCTGTGCAAACTGTGAGTTGTTGATAAGGTATACATAATTTGGCTATATAGAGATACCAATTTCTAAATAAACTTTCCTTTTACAAGTCTTTTGTCTTCCTGATATAATATAAAACTTGGGCACTCTTTGGTGGTAGAGTATAGCTCCATTATGGATAAGATTTTATTTTGATAAATCACAGTGTTCGTTGCACAGTAATATTAACTGATGACCACGTTTCGAGCACAAACTATTACTGCTCATAATCATATCAAGGTACTCACCCGCACAACTTTCTTGCTTCTTTTATATACATGAGTAAAAACTGATGATTAGTCATTTGGATAAAATCAATATAAGATAAAGTACATCCAGAAATAATAATATGAGTGTTATTGATCGCATACAATCAGATGGGAAATGAGATGTTTTTATGGTAAAATAAATAAATAACTTGTTAGTGTTATAATGTGAATTGATGAAATGCATTTTAAGATAATTTATAATCCTCTCATTCGACTGGTGATAATAATATCTTCCATATCTCTGGTATTCTCGTTGAGTTATTTCTGTTGCATGTGTTGGGTGTAGATTATTCGATGAACCGGAATTCAATAATCAATCTCTCTCCACCTATGTTTATTACCTTTTAGAATTTCGACTCTGCTCCACCCACCCTGTTGTGTAGTTGTGTGTTAATGCATGCAGCACCATCGCTGTGCTTTCTTCTAAATTACTTATCTTCGCGTATGTAGTAAACCATTCTTACCTTGGCTGAATTCTTATGTTCTCACATGTTCTTATGTTCTCTAAATTATATTATTTTGTCTAATTGGATCAACCGACAGGGTCATTGAGCATACATAACCTGTTGTACCTGAGTGAGTTTGTAGGTTTGAATGCCACCCGCTTTATTAAGAATCCTACGTGTGGAGGGCCTCAGATGCCCCCCCCCCCTTCCTAATATGGTAAAGCTACTGTAGATGCCTTATATTCGCTTCTACCGTTCCACTATTTTAGGGATGAAGGCGAAACATTACTAACTACAGAAGATGTAAAAAGATAACAATCTATTGACTGTATGTACACTTTTCTCCTACTACCTTTACATGGTGAGGAATTTCGAAATCACACGCGGTGCAATGCCGTGCCAAGTTGGTTAAGTGATCTTTAAGCTCCATCGATTTGACAAGTTTGAATAGGGTTTTTACGCATATTCAGCTATACTATTTCTAAACGAATGTTTTCAGCTGGAGCAGCTATATAGGCTGAAAAAAGGCCTACAGGGATCAGGTGAGATAAAAGTATGGCATCAATCATCATTTTTGAGTTTTCTGGCTGTTGAATTAAGAGTCATGAAGTTAGAAGGGTAAATTGTTTTAAATGGGGTTATTTTTTGAAAAGATGCTGAGAATCAATCCAACGGATTAACGATCTTTTGTGAAACATCTCGAAATCATATTGACCATTATTTACTCAGAAGTTTCGCCATTTTTAACTTAAAACATTTTCCGTCCTCTTATAATTTTACTTTTTTACAGCTTTATCACGTCGTATTCCTCTTTGAGCGCTTCGATCGCAAATATGGCGGATTTCATGAGATACAAATCCTTCAATCCACGTTCTTATCTTGACCTTATCTGATCGAAGTAGTGTTTTCAGAGATAAAAAGTCTTTCCATTTACTACTAAACTCACGCAACTAGAGTCAGTCTGCAAGCTAAAATTCCTACATCCTACTAAGAAGCCAGCTGACCTCCTCACACTCGCTCAAGCATCCCCCTTTTCCCCAACCTACCACTGGCTGGTAAACTTGGCGAAGGTTAGCAGCACCAGTGTGCTGGATAGGAGCCAAACCTAATGATCATGTTTGTGGCTGGAATCGATTTTCGACCGACGCACTCCTTTACCCAGCGCCCTAACCTAGCCGGTAATAAGACCGGTAGAGAGGGAAGGTTGGGAGTGAGGCTAGCAGTCTCACCTCTGTGAAAATGAAATCCACTGCTACGGAAACTTTAGAGTTCCAGCATGAAGTCCTATGCAACGCTTCAACCGTAGAGGAACAGAAAACATTCTAATGAAAGTGAGGCAGTGTGTGTGTTTATCAACTTCATATACAGACATGTTAAACAATCATGATTAGCAGTGGAATCCAGAATGCTGAGCTAGAGGGAATCTGCATTCCCACTGAACATCAAACCCTGCAGCCATAGTTTTAAACGCCTTGATGATGCAGCGAATAATGGTTTGGTGTTTTAAATCATAGGTGCAAGGGTTTATTCGAAGCAGGGTCAACTACTAGCCACCACACCACCAGGGTTCCAAATGAAGACCTCCCGGTTACTAGGCTAGCTCGTAGACCATTCAGCCACCAAGACTTGACTCACTTGGCCAGTCTATGAATTCTAACTTCTAACAATGCGCGTGATTATAGCGCGATCATCAGCTAACGTTATTGGCGAGTATCTATCCTAACTTCCGACCGGGTGGACCTCACAAGTCACGACTTCTCATAAGAACTCGGTGGATGCAAACAGATGATGAGTCCCAAACTAGTACAAGACAGCTGTCCAGTACATCCTGTTGGTTTTCAATAGTTCTTCAACGGACATTATGCTGTGATCTCACTTGAAACAAGCCAAATCCCTAGGAAACAAACTCTCAGCGATAATAATTTCACGTTAACCCGTAGACATCATTACCAAGAGCTCACAGCGGTAAAATTAGAGGGAAAAAACAACGAATATTCAAAATATCACGAAGGAAGGCTATCATTGGACTCGAACTGGTGCACATCTGTGAAAAGTAGTTCTATAATGAAATCGGTCGATCAGTCAGTCCGGCAGTCAGTCAGTCAGTCAATCGAGTAGTCTCAAACGATGACGCTATATAAGATGATTACACATAGTCCGCGATTTGAATCTCACTGCTCCAACAAATTTGGCCCAGGGTAACCCACCTACTGTGTAGCTATCATCCGCTTGTAGAAAATAAATATGTGAGTGGCTCATAAACTGGAATATGAAAAACCTGTGTCAAGGCAACTGCGATCTTAGGGATAAACGATAAATGCTTGGAGGGGGAGTTAAAATTAGCCAAACAAACAAAATATTAGGCATAAGATAAAAATAAGATCAGATTGCAGGACATTATTTGTTTATTTATTTCTCTAGAGATAAGAAAAAAAACATTTTCATCCAATTTCACACATTCAAAGCATCTGTGTTTGCATATATGTACAACATCTATGAGATAAAATTGATGATTACTACTCACCTGTATTGGCTACAATTCGAGTCACCTTACATTCAGGTGAGTCAGTGATCTTGTCTAAGAGGAGGGAAACAGAAGAAGAAGAAGAAGCGAGAAATCAATAAACGTATACCACAACAATATAAACCAAAAAATAATACGATTATATAATTTTTAAAATAAAACCGGACATTTCCCAATAGATAATGTTAGTTCATGTTTGAATTCGATTTATAGTAAGTTAACTTCGACGGGACAATTTGTACATTTTTCAATAGCTACTCCTTTTGTCCCAGTCCAGTACAAAAGGAGTCTAGTTAGAACATTATTCGATAAAGCAAGAAGGATATGTTGTTCAAGTAGACTACACTGGACTCGAATATAAAGAGACAATACTGGTGAGAAATGTCTATTCGGAAAGGTATTTATAAATAAATTTGGATAGCAAACACGCTGGGTGCGGCTGACACACCTAGCTTCACACGAGCAAGTGAATTGGTAGATGTCGACCGCACCCAGAATTCGCTATCCAAACATATATAAAGGAGAAAAAAGATCCTTCCCCATGCACCACAGCTATATCCTGGAACACCTGAACGAATTTGGACATCGAGCCAACCCACGCACAAAGGAACTTCAAAGTTATCTACAGAATACGTGAGAATCTTGCTAAAAGATTACAAATCAAACTTCTTCAAACCACAGCAGCAATGGCGATTCAAATGTGAAGGAGAAGGAGTTTGTTCAGTCATTAAATCTACGAGGGTTTATATATATGTATTCAAAATGATAGGAAAGAATGAAGTAATATCAGTGATTGTTTCCAAAGAAGAAGGTTTTCATTGAGTTACTTTTCAAGGATGACGATAATGTTACTCAATTGGTGAAACGTTGTTTGGATAACGCTACTAAACGAACCTACTGAAATGCAGCGGATATGTTGCTCATTATCACAACAACAAAGTAGATAATGTAAGCAACTGGATAAGATAAGATATCGCAACTCTCACCACATCAAAATGTTTACATCAATTTACATGTGTTTATCTGTTTGTTTTCAACATAGAATTCCGCAACGATGTGCAGAAGTTCAAGTCGCCACACCCCACTCCTTGGAGCACACAAACCAACAGAAGAATGTAGAAGAAATGCAAAATAGAGACAGTAAACAGGGATATGAGACAAAAGGAATGGTAATAACGAAGAACAATATAGTTTCATTGGATACTTTAAGTCACAGTGAGTGGATCTATCTGCGCCATCATCGAGAACGCATTTGAGCCACATCACTCATCAATTGTCTCCAGCCTTCGTTGGTGTTTACCGTCACGAGGACGCCAACCAGCTAGTCAGGAAGTCTACACCTTCCCACGTGGCCGGCCGGCTTAAACTAACTGCTGTGGATTTCATCGACTGACAAGGCCATGTTTTGGTTCGACCGCCACTAGCTAGCTCTTTTCAAACCTGACCGATCCCATGTCAGCTAACATTTCCCATTGTCGAGGCGATGGATAGGCACACGTAACACATGTCCTAATCATCTCAATCGATGTAGCTTCATAGCCTCGTCTACTGACCTTCCCTATATACCTAGCACTCAACGCCTAGCCAACTCAATATTGCTCACCCCACTATACCACTTAACAGAGGAGATAGAATGCAGGCACCTATGACCACAGAGCTAGAGCTTTGAAGTTTCAGTAGCCGTGGTATTTATTTTTACGGGGTGTGGTTGATAACCTAATGCCAAACCTTCCCTGTTTAACGATCGTATTACCGGCTTAGCGACGGCAGGGGATCGAACCCCGAACCATATGAGGCGTGGTTGGCGAACACATTCATACCTCTAAGTCACGGATGTACACATCTACCTTGGTAGCATACTTTTATTTTACTTTCACAATTTTCTTTCCTTTCCCCTTGTTTTTCCAATGTGTTTTTTCATTATTATTATTTATTTATTATTATTATTATGATCAGTTTCCTCAGGATTTTGTGCAAATCAAATAAATCATGGTTGACTATTGATCTCTGTGAGGAATGTGAAAACTATCCTCTGAGTTTAGATCAAACATGTTTATTCTCGTGTAGTTAATATATGTTCAACATATTTATTTGTTTTCACAAAGGTTCCTTGTTGTCATAGTGTTCATGTGTTTGTATGTAATTAACCTTAAAATTAAACTGTATAAATAACTATGTTTGTAGAGTATTCAGTTGATGAATTCTACCAAAATTAATGAATTCATTAAATACTGCGTTTTTTCTCATAGTTATCAAAGTGTTGGTTCGCAGGGATTTGAGGGTGGTTACAGGAGTGATCATGCGCTGACATCAATTAGCGAACCACTGGAAAACCTGGGAGTACTGGACCACTGTTTCGTCGCAATTTTGGACTCTTCGTCAGCATGCAGTCACTGCCAGAGTTCAAACCCAGAGCCTTCCGGTTATACACCGGAAGGTCCTGAGACTGAACCCCTATGGTGGATGCTTGCAGTTGAAGAGTCCCAAACTAGGACGACACAACTGTCCAGTACTCTCAGGTTTTTCATAGTTGTCTGTTTACTTTAAATTTACTACAGGAAAGAAATGTTTCCAATCATTACAAAGCGATAAGAGAAGAGTTTGATCTTCTGTGATGACAGCAACCTTTATCGAGAATTTACTGACAAGAACATCAAACCCGAAAATTCAAAGGCATGACATAGCAGTTGGTACCAAAAGGAGACGCCCTATATGAAGCTTAAGAGAAAAATTCCAACATCTTTGAAAAGAACATTGTTTCTACCAACACTCTAAGAGTACTGTTTTCTCCAGTAGTAGCCCACTAGTCTGTGGAAGCTTGAAAGTCAGACAGAAACAGCTGTCTGGCAGTACTCCCTGCTTTTTCTCAATGGTACTATAACTGAGATCAATCCGTGATCAACTCGTAAAGAAACAAAGCTAATCCTTACAAACCAACTATAGAAATAAAAATTACAAGAAAAAATGCATAAACACTTACTAAGACCATCAGGTTTGGCATAACCACAACGTCGACGTGCTTCATCCAAGTCTTTCTGTAGCATTCGTAGACGTGCTTGTCGATCAACTTGACGCATAGCATCCAAAGCAGCCATACCACTAGTATAAGTAGGTCGATAATTGATAGTACTTCGAGAGAGGATATTAGGAGTACGTGAGTTGTATAGGCTAAAAAACAAATTTGCATAGAAGTTTAGTAGAGTTCAAGTTGCTTTACTTCATAAAGCCACACATAAAGACAAAGAAAATACACTGAAATATACGAAAGTGTTAATAGACGAGCTTGCCTTCTAACTGGGAGGTCCTGGGTTCGAACCCTGGAGGTGGGTGTGTAATGCCAATGAATACCAAACTAGGACAACAGAAACAGCTGTCTGGCAGTACTCCTTGCTGGTTTTCAATGGTTCTCTAACTGATATCAATCCGTGGTCAAACTCGACAGACAAATCCAATCCTTACAAATCAACTCTTGGAAAGCATAATCACACGAAGAATGATGAGAATTTAATAAATCTGCGACACCACTGAAGAAGTGGATGCATTTGGGCCTTTGAGGATAACTTTAAGCCGTGTCTCCAACAGTCTCTAGTCATTGGTTCTTGGAGTCGGGACGATAAGTACCGTTTCCCTTGAAGAAATCAAGGGGATATTAGTCACTAGTTAGATTAAATCACTGTAGGACAATAAAATAGCGAAAAATATACCACGTGAAATGACAGAATTATTTGTCAAGTGCAAACGCATATGCGAAGATAACCTCCTAGACTAATTCAAAGGTGGCAGTCTATATTTTTTTTGTTAACACATGTCGGCACCTAGTAACAGAGGTTTCAACGACGCCTTCGGAATATAACAGGAAGGCATTCGATTGATGATGACCAGCAGCAGTGGAATCAAGGATGCAAACTTCGTCTTATTTGAGACTCATCTGATGGATAAACGATTCCATTCCTAATGAGTGAGTGAGTGTTCCCGATTACACTTGAACCCAAAACACGTCGTTCCAAATACTACAGTATTATCGTGCTGGGAGACGACAGCCAAAAGAAACATGTATCAGTTGTTATTCTTTTTGCAGATTAATTTGTATTGCTCGACTCCTGTGGACATTTCAGCTCCCATGACCTATTGACTTAGTGGATAAGGCTTCGGTAATTTGACGTGACCAGTACTGTGTGCGAGTCCCACTGGGGACACAGATACATTCACATGACGAATGCTGGATAAGACGAAATGCGCATATTGGATTCCACAGCCAAACAGCATATGCACAGCACAAATCACCATCAACGAGAAAGATTTAACGGAGGTTATCTACTTCATTTATCTGGGAAGCATCGTCTCAACTACAGGTCGGCAGAACGGACGAAAATGTCAAAGTCAAAATTGGAAAGACAAGATACGACTTCATCAATCTGAAACCTGTTTGGAAACCTTCTGCTGTCACTCATCATAAGGAAGAAGATTCGCATTTTCAACACCAATGTCAATTCGGTCAGTTCTTCTATACGGGTCAGAAACTTGATCGGCGTATCACGAAAAGCATTTCCAACAAGTTGAAGACTGTCATCAACAGCTGCCCACTTCGCTAGCCCTATACAGAAGATCAAATTGCTGGCCAGAAAGAATAAGCAACAAGAAACTATGGGAACAAACCAACAGGTGAGAGCCGACCGGTCAACAAATTTGTTGGAGACAATGGAGATGAATAAGATATACATTGAGGAGGCTGCCGACCCTAGAATGGAATCCCAATGGGAGGCGACGAGTGGGTTGTCGGTGCGAAATTGACATGGAAGAGATAGTGTGAGGAAGAGATGAGAGAGTTTAGTCAGCAGAAAACAGAACAAAGTGAAGATGTGTTGTTGAAGCCGACCCTATATTCTACTCGGAACTCACGGGAATAATAACAACAATAATAATAAAATTACGCAAAAAAAGGTATAAGAGAGCGAAAAAAATTATATATGATGAAACATGAGCAACACTACTAACCGAGTTGTATCCACTAGTGAAGGATTAATTCCAGCTGCAAGTAATTGTTGTTGTTGCTGTTGTAATAATTGCATTTGTTGTAGTTGAAATAAATGAGCTTGTTGATAACTTAAACTTAAGCGTTTCTCTTGTTCATAACGTTGACGAGCCATACGTTTTTCTACACGCGTTAAACGATAATCTTTACGATCAATCAATAAAGATTCATGTGTAAATGGTCGCTAAAAATAAGACAAAGAAAGAAAAAGGAGAAGAAATATCATTCATTTTTTTCTTAAAAATAATCCGTATAAGACGGTTAGGAGAAAAAACGATATACAAATGACGGGACTTGGCAACAAAGCAATAATTGACTCATCTCAACACTGAACTGTAGTGCGAGCTAGCTGCTAGCCAAAAATTAGTAGACAGCAATTTACGTCAGTGTTTAGGTCACAAACATTGGTCGTGTGAAAACAAGAACAACAAGAACTGACTCAACAACCAATCACAGCAGACTTCGTTTGCGTAGGCGGATACAATTTGCAGACAGATGATCTGACATTCAAGAAACAACCACAAAGAGATGAAAGATTAACTTTCAGTGAGAAGACAACCAGCAATCAGAAGTCTGTGTTTTTCTGCTAACAATAATCTATAATAATGTACATGAAAATCTATAAATCTATAAACGATCTGATGTCTGGTCATTGTCTTCTATTATCACAGTACTACTTTGCATAGATGTGCACCAGTTCGTAGTGCTACACTTCCTCTATGTAGCACACAAACCAACAAAAGAGAATAACGACAGATAATAAACAGAAATAAATGTGAGTGAGGGAAAAAGCATAGTAATATGGAAGAACAATAGAGTTTTATTGAATATGAAATATCACAAAGAGTGAATGCATCTGCGTCAGCCATCATCGAGAATGACGATTTTGAACCATATCACCCACCAATTGTCTACAGCCGTCATTGGTACATACAATCTCAAGGACCCTAACTAATCAGGCAGTCAGTCTACACCTCTCAACAAAAGTGCAAACACGAATATCATGTTTAGTCTTTTGAATACATGACTGATTGCTCAAAATAAATTGAGTTGAGTACTCGTGGATAATTCGGCTGAGCTTCTCAACATAGAATTACGCAGAGAAGTAAACCAGAATTCATGGTGCTACACTGCATGCGACTGACAGAAAGATTCAAAAGAACATTAATAAGCATAGAGAAAACAGAAGTGATGAAGATTCCTGGGAAACAACAACAGCAACAGCAACAATCAGCATAAATGGGAGGAACCTGAAAGAAACAACCTCTTTTACCTACCTGGAAAGCATCGTTTCAACTACAGGCGGACGGAACAAATGAGGATATCAACACAGCGAAGATTGGGAAAGCAAGGCAAGCTTTCATTACTCTCAATTCTGTGTGGAGGTCAACAGCACTCAGCATGAAAAATAATATCCAGATTTTCAACTCAAATGTGAAGTCAGTGCTACTATATGAATCAGAGACTTGCACTGCGCGTCACGAAGAGCACCTCAAACAAACTACAGAGCTTCATTAACAGCTGTCTTCGCTCAGTACTACTCAAGATCACATGGCCAGCCAGAAAAGATCAGCAACAGGGATCTCTGGCAATGAGCGAACCAACCAGGAACCGATTGTGCAACAAATCTGCAGGAAGAAATGGAGATGGATTGACCATACTCTGAGGATACCATCAAGCGACATCACACGACAGACCCCATCGCTCGAGTTGAACCCGAATGGCAAGCGGCGAGTTAGTTGGTCGTCAGTGCTAGGGTGACATGGAGTGGAGGTCATGTGAAGAGGAGATGAAAGCATGTGGGCAGACGTGGAGTCAGGTGAAAACTTTAGCAGAAAACCGAACACAATGGAGACGTGCGGCTGAAGCCCTATGTTCCTCTAGGAATTTAAGGAAATAATAATAAGTAGGGACGTGCAGGAGAAAGGATGATAATACGAGGCGTTTGACGGATCTGGGAGAACAATTTTCAGTCATATATCACCATCGACAGTTCCAAGCCATTGGTTCTTAGGCATCTTGAGAGAACTTGACAAACAGACAGTCTATGCCTCCCTACGTGGTTCAAACCAGCTGCCAGAGAGACATTATCTATCGACTGGTTTGATCATACCTAAACCCAACGCATACGTCAGCTAACATAGTTCGCCAAAGAAGGCGGCGGCTTCGCATACGCAATACATGTTCCTAAACATATTTCAACCGACGTACCTGCACCTTCACAACTTTATCGCTCGACTTTTCTTCCTTACCTAGTTACTCTACGAGACTAAACTCAATACTGGTCAATATAATTTGCCACTTAACGTGGGAAACATAGTACTTAAGTCAAGAATTCAAAGAAATTGACTATATTTCTCCCAGAGAGAGAGAGAGAGAGAGTTACAAATCAACATGGCACCTTCCATAAACGTCTATGGGAATATTCCGATCATATTTCGAGACAATAAGTAGAGAAGAGGAATGGAAAATCCACTGTCGATAAACATGAGTGCATGGCATCGGATGGCCTGACAACGACTAGTGAATGCTGCTGAATTTCGATGATAAAAAGCAAGTATATCATTATCATTGGAAACGAGTTTATGTCATTTAGCGTCCCAAAGAACTCAAATGAATCAAATGAAATGTTACTGAATGACCAAATTGTATGTCCTCGGGACGGTAAAAACCAATGGTTGGAAACAATTGGTGATATGGTTCAAAATCGTTCTCAATGGTTGGTTCAGATGTATCCACTCCTTGTGACTTATAATTTCCAATGGAACTGTATTGTTCTTCGTTATTACTATTCCTTTGTCTCACACCTCTGTTCACTGTCTATATTATACATTTCTCCTATTTTCTTCTCTTGCTTTGTGTGCTACATGGAGTATGGCGACTTGAACTTCTGCACATATGTGCAAAATTCTATGTCGAAAACAGACAGATAGACAGCATCGGTGAAACAGCGGTAGAATACTCGCAAACCACGCCACATGTGGTTCTGGATTCGATTCCCGGTCACAGACGCACTTCTCCTTTACCTAGCTGAGCCGGTGATAAGACTGGTAATGAGGCAAAGTTGGCCACGAGGCTACCAACCCTATCCCCTAAAAATAAACACTACTGTTACCGAAACTTCAAGCCTCTCGCTTGAAGACCTATGTTCAACTGGGAACCTACAGGAATAAAAAAACCTAATTGTTATCTCGTGCAATTGGCAATGAGCCACACTCTATTGTGTGTGTATGTGAGTGCTGCTCAGCTGACAAACCTCAGGAAAAATGGATCGTCTTTTGAATCCATGATTCACAGATTGGAAGCCAAGCACCTAGACCTCTTTGGGTAACACAGTTTCACAAAAGATCCCCGCTCAAAAGACTTCCTTGAATAAATAGCTCAAAGTAAGGAAACCAATCAATACACAAAATCAAATTCAAAGAGCACATTTTCTGCAAGTGAGTCATAATATCGCATTTCAACTCTTTTACAACAAAGGGCTAAAAACAACTCGTACATAGATATGAGAAACAAGCATTTTTTTGGTGATGCCATCATACACACCAAAAGAAACTATTCATAAACTTTCAAGTACCAATGATTTGTAGGGATTTGACTAATTTCTAGTTAACTTTCATCACAAAGCGATATCGGTTAGAGAATTGTTACGAACCAGGAATTCCTGGACACCTGTCATTTAGTCGGTTTGGGACCCTTATTATTTAATTTAAACGCAGTTAAACTTGGTAAAGTATGGCACCAAGACGATGCGCCACACAATAATAATAATAATAAACATAGATTAAAAGTAGAAATATAAGTAGAAAACGGATAAAGAATTTCGTCCGGAAGGAAAAAGTCATACTTAAGAAGTTCAAACAGTATTCATCAACTATCTTCAGGAAGGGAAGGAAGAAGGTAATTGCAGCACGTTCGCCATTGATTACGATTCTTGGCCATATCCGATAACGTTTCTAGCCATCGATTCGAGTTACCTCTCGGATTCCAAACAGGGAGACGTGACGCACCAACCGATGCTAATCTAGAACAAACATCCTTCATCCCACGACGCCACGCCATGGACTAACCCCACCCCTCCGCCTTTTCCATCCCGTCCCAGGGTTAGCGAACAGAGACCTGTACGGAAGCCTCTGAGATGACATTCGCAGCACATGTCCAAGCCACCGAAGCTGGTGTCTCCAGATGACGACACTCAGTGAATGGTGATCTCCACTGTGTTCAAACACACGCCACCAAACCTCAGAATTACTCACGCGATGATGCCATCGAACGCAAGTAATCCTGTGGAGACAGAGATGATCGAACACGCAGAGCCACCGCACATCTTCAGCTCGGAAAGGCCAGGTTTCACAGGCGTAGAGCAAGACAGCCCGCACCGAAGCATTGTATACCCGACCTTTGACAGCCAGGCTAACGTCGCGACGGCACCAGAGGTGGTTCAAGTAGATGTATGCCACCCTAGCCTTCATTATACGGTTGGAAATCTCATCCGTCACCCCTCCGCCAGCACTCACACAACTACCTAGGTACACAAACTTATCGACAACTTCAAGCGGTTCACCCGCAAGAGTGAGTGCAGGTACAGGCTCCTGCCAATCTTGTAACTGTACTTTGCACTTAGACGGCGCAAAACACCATACTTACACTGATCGCCAACTGAATAAGTGCGATTTGGGCAGCCTGCATACTATCGCACAGTAAGACGATATCGTCTGCATACTCGAGGTCCAAAAGTCTATCTCCAGGGAGCAGATCTACACCACCTTCAAGCCCATCCTTCAGAGCTAACTCCAGAATGTCATCAATGGTAAAGTTAGAGAGAAATGGAGAGATCGGACAACCCTGTCTAACCCCACCGTTGGTTGGGAACAGTGATGATAGTTGTACGTCTCCATGCCCGACCGATAGCTGCTAATTGAGATGTGGTTGTGAGGATTGCATGCAGCAATCACTCAACCAGCTACACACCGGCTGCAAATAGTTTTTCTGCACATTCTACCATGCTAGGAAGGTCGTTTGGATGGTGATTAGACTCAAACAAGCCATGTGTAACCGGCACCAAGCACTTCTTCCCTGGGGGCTCTGTGGAAACGTAACCATAATGCTCCATGTGTCTCAGGGTATGCAAACAGAAAATCAACGTGTCCACAGCAGCCAGGAATTAACAAGTATCTAGACACTCCCATAAGCATAGAAAGGGATTTCCTGATTATAATCTAGTCACGTCCCTACAGGCCATTGGCGACTAGCTGATGACGTACTACGTTTAACCTACAATAAAATCACAGATACATACACTTCTGAAAAGTCTCCGACTAGGACGAAACAGTTATACTTACTTTAGTTATCCATTTTGCATGCTTCTTTAATACATCCGTAAGTATTGGATCGGGTTGAATAATATCTTCACACTGTTTCAAGTCTTCATCTGTTATAGTCTCCATGTCTTTATCTTCAAAAGACATTAATAGCTCAACTTGTGATCGGGTAAACTGTTGACTTGGATTCAATTCATCTACAACACGATCTGACATACCCTGTTTAGTTACCTATAAGAGCAAACGAAAAAAGAAAGAAAGATGAATTGATTGATTGATGAATATTAATCTGATGCTCACTTGCAAATGACCGTATTCAGGTAGGTAGGTAGTTAGTTACTTGGGTCCTAGTGAAAGTCATGACCAGTGAGGTACACAGCAGGTCGGGTGTGACAACAAATACTCGCCTTCGATGAGTTTGCTAGTGGTGGCGTCATATAATGCATTGGCAGAAGTTGAACGACTATCGACCAAAGAGCGAAGTACTGCTCAGCAGTCCGCTCCGTCTTCCTTTATGGCTGTCAGTGAGACATGGCCAATAAAAGTGGAAGACATGAAAAGGTTATCTAGCTGTCTTTGATCATTGGTGCCTGTGTCCTATCTCCTGTGTTAGGTGGTAGGTGTAATAGGGTGAGCAATATTGATTTGGTTAGGCATCGGTCGAGTGCTAGGTTGGTGGAAGGAGAAATCATTAGACGAGGCTATGAGGCTATATCGACTGAGATGGTTAAGATATGCGTTACGTATGCCTAGCTATCTCCTGCCTTCCTCGACAATGGGAAATGCTAGCTGAGTTAGTAGATGGTGGTCAAACCAAAACATGGTTTCATCAGTCAATGAAATCCACAATAGTTAGTTTAAGCAAGCAAGCCATCCAGCCACGTATGGAGATGAAAGACTGGCTATTTTGTTGGGGTCCTCGGGACGGTAAACACCAATGAAAGCTGGAGACAAGTGGTGGGTGATATGGCTCAAAATCGTCGTTCTCGATGATGGCTGGCGCAGATGCATTCACTACTTGTGTTTTTTGATTTCCAATGAAACTATACTGTTTTTTGTTATTACTATTTCTTTTGTCTCATATCCCTGTCTACTGTCTCTATTTTGCATTTCTTCTACTTTCTTCTGTTGGTTTGTGTGCTACAAGGAGTGGAGTGAGGCGACTTGAACTTCTGCACATCGGTGCAAAGTTCTATGTTGAAAACAGATAGACAGACAGAATCATTAGCCTTCACAAAATAAATCTAGTTCCTTAGCCTGGTACACGAAAGAGTTGATCACATCAACTGGGGTTCTAACAGAAATAGTAAAGGTGGGTGGCGTATGTGGTTAGCATCCATAGCATGGTGGTTAGGTAATCAAGAGTCTAAACCAATGAGCCACAGTTTCAACGGATGATTAGTTAGAGACCTTACCTATGTTGAAAACAAACAGACATCGAATAGCCCGTACTAGGAGCCAGCTTGTCAACACAGACACCAAGCATTTCCGTCCAATATGTATATTCAGTTAACGACAAAAATACACAATTAACTTGAACAGGGATCGCAGTGAGTCGGTCGGTGGCACAGCGGTTAGGACTCTCGCCGACCAAGCACATGGTCCGGGGTTCAATTTCCTGCCGACGTACACCTGATATCAATTGGTCGGCCTGCAAAACTAGGGCTACCGATATCACATGCTGAAAATTCCTTACTTGTACCAAAAATACTGTGTGGAATCAAGCTATTATCAAAAAGAAAAAGAAAAACAAATAGTTCAAAAATATATATAATCTGTTCGCTATTTTTCATTAAATAAGCCGCAAAAGAAAGAAAGAAAGGGGAAAAAACAAACAAATGAGAATATCTGAACACCACTCACCTGACGATCATAAATTTTCTTCTCCATTGTATTATCTGAGACAAGACGATAAATATAACACGGTTTCACTTGACCATAACGATAAACACGACAAACAGCTTGACAATCATGACATGGATTCCAGGAGGCATCGAAAACAACAACACGATTTGCACCAATCAAGTTGACGCCTAGGCAACCAGCTCTGAAAGCAAACGGACAAACATATTGATCACATGGTGATAAAGTATACACACACACACACTAACACATACACATACAGACATATGTAATCCATAGGTTATGCAAAAACGCATCTCGAAGAATCATTATTGTCATGAGCTGACATCAGTTAGAGAACCACTGGGAAACCTGGGAGTACTAGACAGCTGTTACGTCCTAGTTTGGGATTCTTCAGCAGTACGCAGCAGTACATGAATGCAGACAGAAGACAGAGGTGATAATCAGGATTTTGATGTAGTTGTGTTCTCTGACCTGGATGGTGGTTTGTTTGCGAAGCTTTCATCGCTCTACTAGCCAACATCTTCAGCGTATACCTCAATTTGAATTAAAGTGAGCTTTTAGATTTCTCAACGAGTTTATTCGTCATCTCTTCTTGTCGGAACATTGAACATGACTGGTTAATTTTGTACGTTTTCACACCCTCTACGCTGCTTGTATTGGAACTAATTGTTTCTTTGACTTGAACTTTGCCCCTTTGTGTGTGAAATTTCCTTCTTATCGGTTGGTTGATTTTGTCTATGTCAATGTGTCTATTGACTGAAGATTCACTGGAGTATCAGGCAGGCTTCTAAAAATTCTCTAGCATTCTTGGTGTTTCCTCTGGCTAATATCTGAACATTGTCCCAGTCGAATTGATGTCCGTGGTTGTCTATATGTAATGATATGAGTGGTGAAGTGGATGTCATGTCTTTTGACGGCTAGTTAGTTTATTTTCATGGATACGAAGACGGAGGGGACGTCCACTTTGGTCAATGTAGTGTTTTTCGCAGTTGTTACAATTTATTTTGTAGGTGATGTTGGTTTTATCTTCTTTCGTTGTTAAGTCTTTTGATTGACAAAGAGCCAACTGAGTGAAGTGATTTTGTTGGTTTTTGTGTAACGTCAATTCTTAAGGTTTTGAAGAGTCTTGCAGTAGGGTGATTTTCTTTGTGCTTTCCTTGGGCGCCTTTGGTTTGATAGGTTGGCTTGGGGGTATAATACAAGATTCGATCAAACCTATCAAAAGAAGTAAAATTAAGACATCTGGGCATAACCGAGGCACTAGCCATCCCAAAGAAATACGTCCAATCCTTGCCCTTGCCATGGCCATCATAAACAGGTAATTCTTTTAGTAGTGACTATCCCAATACCTTTCTTATTCAAACTTCCTGTTTATTCATGTTATTTTAAGTTTTTCTTAATCCCTGTTTACACTACCATATTTTCATATCTGAACTTCCTGCCTATTTTGTCATTTTATTATTTCTACATATTTAATCCCTAACTGCATAAACAATTATTCGTCACATTAGTTATGATCCCACTAGATTTTTTTATCCAACCATCCTGTCTGTTTTTGTTATTTCTACATTTCTAACCCCTAATTGCACAATCAGTGTCAATCTTCTCAGTAATTATGATGCTACTTTGTTTGAGTTTTATCCATCACCCCTGCTGATTACGGCATTTTGATTCCTAAGTGTAATTTTATTAATTTGACCCTTAACCGGAAATTATTCTGGAACTTTCCCATGCATTTGTTACAAATACACGAATGTACAACCTAGTTGACAGTGACTTCGTCGAAGAGAAAATTTTCTTCGCTGCGACTGTCTTTTTGATAATAATATTAGTATTTTAGATTATACATTTTTGACTTTATTGTTACTGCTAAAACCAAAATTTGCTTTTATCAATCCTGTAATATTACTTTTTAATGAACGAAATATTCCCATATTGAGACGTGAACAGCAAAGAAGAAAATTTTCTTTCCGACAATTCATCTTCAAAAGCGGTTTCTTTTTATTCCTTCACGTTCCCAGTGGAACGCAGGGCTGCTTCAAGCTAGAGGCTTGAAGTTCCGATAGCAGTGATGTTTATTTTTACGGGATGCGGGATTGCTAGCCAGCCTCATGCCCAACCTTCCTTCTTTATTAGTCTTATTACTAGCTTAGCGAGGTTTAGGAGTGCGTCGGTCATAAGTTGTACAATCGTAAATATATTTAACAAAAAAATCTTTACACCATTTAGATAGTGGTAAATTTTGTCCCCAAAAAATGTATTACGTAATGTATGATGCAACCTAAAAAGGCTGACTAATTGGAAGTTATGAAAGGGGGCAGAAGTTGGCATGACGTAATAAGTGTGAGGTAATGACTGATCAGTATGGTTGTGTAGAGTGGACAGGAACTAGTGGAAAGGCGATAAAGTATTTTTATATAAAATCTACATGTAAATGCAGTGTTATAGAGTGGTAATAAAGTATGGATGGTGGAAATAATAATGATAATAAAATAAAAGTAGTAATAACATTAATAATAGTAAGCTTACATCATAAAAAGATAGCAACTTATAGTAAGAACTTTATTCTGGCCACGGTAGGAGGAGGCAGTGTATGTAGCGCTTTTGAATGCAGAGGTCCGTTGCATTCACTCGCCATACCACGGCCAGGGTTAAGTTCTTACTACAATCTGGCTTCTTTTTTATTATATAAGTTAACTATTACTACTGTTATTATTATTTTATTGTCATTATTATTCCCATCATCCATATTTTATTAACATTGCATTTTTCATACAGATTTTATAAAAAAAAAACACCTTATCGTCTTTCCACTAGTTCCTGTCCACTCTACACAGTCATACTGATCAGTCATTATCTCACACTTATTGCGTCATGCCAACATCATAAATACACGAATGTGCAGCTATCTAGTGGACAGTGACTTCGTCGAAAAGAAAATTTCCTTGGCTGCAACCGTCTTTTTAATAATTCCCATGATCCAATGTGTATATTCCGTGGTTAGAACATCCATCGTCTAGGAGGATGAATGGTAGCTTCGAAATTAACCCGGAGAACGCAAAAACATCAACGACAAAAAACATCCACCCATAAGCTTTAAGTCATTGTTATTACTTTCATATATGTATAATTTAGTGCAAAAAAAATGGCTTTTATGATTATTATTATTATTATGAAACTATGGACGACAGATGCGGTAACAAGTGATACCAATAAAAACTATAACTTTTCAAGTATTGGTTTTGTAGGGATTTTGTTTGATGGCATGGAGGATTTCATCATGAGCTGACATCAGTTAGAGAACCACTGGGAAACCTGAGAGTACTGGACAGCTGTTTCGTACTGATGAAGAATCCCAAACTAGGACGAAACAGCTGTCCAGTACTCCCAAGTTTCCCAGTGGTTCTCTAACTGATGTCAGCTCATGATGAAATCCTCCATGCAAAAAGAAACTATATCATCACATTCCTAGTTACACGCAATTCTAAGAGGTGACATTTCTCACCAGAGTTTTCTTTAAAAACGGGAATAATTCATACCACAAAATACATCACCTTTAAGTATACCATATATGGTAATCATGGTAATGGCAAGCGCATCAGTGCATGACTCTACATACTAGTGATTGCTTGCGATGACTAGTTGAATATCACTCACATCGGAGACGGTTGATGAGCTCGGGGGCCCTGAAACGAGTGAAACGACAATTTTAGTGTTTAGATCACTTTGATATGGTTGGTTAATAAGCACCATAGCCAGCTTAATATGACTGGTATTCAACTAATCATTTTAATCGATCAGTAGTAGTATGATGGCGGGGGCGAGGTGGTGTAAAAAGTATTACGACTAAATAGATCAACTTTTTATTTACTTACCTAGTTGACATAAGAAACAATTTCGCTGGATTTTTAGGATCATTAAAGTTATTAATGAGTTTCTCACGTTCACTTGCATTTGTACTACCGTCTAAGCCTATCAGTAATATAATAACAAGGAAATAACAACGAAATGATGATTAGTAATGTGAGATAAGGCTAAAACTGAGTGATTTATGAACAAGAAAAAGACAAGTGAGGAAAAACACGGTGAAGTCACTGGGAAATATCAACAATTTAGAGTTTCAAACGGACACTGTCTGTCTGTCTGTTTTCAACACAGAACTTTACACCGATGTGCAGAAGTTCCAGTCGCCACAATCCCCTACTTCTAGCACACAAAGCAACAAAAGAAAGTAGAAGAAATGCATAATAGAGACAGTAGACAGGGATATGAGGCAAAAAGAAGAGTATTACCGAAGATCAATATTATAAGTCACTAGGAGTGGATGCATCTGCGCCAGCCATCATTAAGAACGACGATTTTGAGCCATATCACCGATTGTCTCCAGCTATCATTGGTGTTTACCGTCCCGAGGAACCCAACCAGGAAGTCTACATCTTCCTACGTGGCTGGCTGGCTGGCTTAAACTAATTGTTGGGGATTTCATTGACTGGTGCTCTTTTCCAAACTGACCCTATGTCAGGTAACATAACCCATTGTCGAGGAGGGCAGGCGACAACTAGGCTAGAATGCGTAACACATATCTTGACTATCTCAGTCGATGTAGCTTCACAACCTCGTTGATTGATTGCCCCTCCCACCTACCTAGCACTCGACCGAAGCCTCACCTCAATATTGCTCACCCTATTATACCACTTCACACGGAAGATAGAGCGCAGGAACCTATGATCAAAGACAGTTAAGCTTTTCATGTCCTCCACCCTCAATAGCCAGGTCTCGCTCACAGCCATAAGGAAACACAGAGCGGATTGCTGAGCAGTACACCCGCCAGTTGGTCGATAGCCAGCCGGATATCACCTCTACCAATACAGGGACGGCGTCAACTGGCATATGCAAAACTAGCTTTCTGTGACCATGCTGAGATTTCGTCAGTGATAAGCCCGTTGGCACTGGATGATGCAACTTCCCAAATAAGTGAAGTGGTCAACGTGCTCTACCACTTCACTCCCTACGTCTAAGTTAGGAGTCAATGTTTCTACCCAATGAACACTTTTTATATCACGTAAATGGTTATCCAAAAAATTTACAACTCTAATGACACATTTTCGGACATTTTCCTTTTTTAAGATAAGAAAAACCAAAATTTTTTCGCGTTAATGAGCACAGCGGTTAGGACGCTCGCCAACCATGCACATGGTCCAGGGTTCGATCCCCAGCCTGCTAAGTTTGGGCTACCGATATCACATGCTGAAAATTCCATAGTTGTACCGAAAAATACTGTGTGGAATCAAGCTATAATAAAAATAAAATAATAAAAGAAGTATTTCTTTTCTTCCATGACTTCATTTTCAAGCCAAACTGTACAGTTTTACTTATATTACCGAAAAAGGCATTAAGTGGCAGCAATAGAAACTGCTCAGTCAATATTGGCACATACGATAATTAAAATGATGGCGAGGGGTAGGTAGACTTGAAGTGGATGAATTACAAAACTTTTAAAGATTATTTAAATTAGTAAATCGGTATCAAGATTTTAAAAATAGTAGGTCAAGTGTTGTCTAAAAAAAGAATTAAGAGTACACTGATGATTACAATAAAGACAGAAAAGATGAAGTGAGGTGGAATGAATTCAAGTGGTGAAATAGAACAGAATAGAATAAAAGAACAAGGTAATAGATCATTATAATTATCTTAAGTCTTACTACTACATGTGCAATATTGACTGAACAACTTCTAGTGCCGCCATTTAATGCCTTTTTCTGTAATATAAATACGACTGTACAGTTGAATTTAATTGGTAGATGGTGACTAGCAGTGGAATCCAGGATGCACATTTCGTCCTATTTGGGAATCGTCAACTGGTTTGAGACTATGGGCACTGGGTTGGAGTCCCAGTGGGAACACCATCACTGACTCACTGGGGAATGCAGAGTTGATGAGTCCCAAATAGGACGAAATGAGCATCCTGCTGGATCCCACTGCTAGTCACCATCCACCAACTAACTTCTAATTACATGCCCATGCATCGTCAAAGCATCTTCACAAGAAACCGACAGACATGTCAACCTGAGACTGAACACTTCGGTCAATCAATCAATCGACGGGAAAATCTAAAATTGAATTAAACAACTACTCCTACTACAAAAAACAACAATAGACATATAAAGACATTATGACTGAAACAGTTCACGTTTGAAAGTACAGTCTAGAAGGACTCTTAAGTCTGTGTGGAGAACAACACTCAGCACTCAGCATGAAAATGAAAACAAGATCCGGATTTTCAACTCCAATTCTAAGTCAGTGCTACTATATACATCAGAGACTCGGCGCGTCATAAAGAGCACCTCAAACAAACTACACACCTTCATCAACAGCTACCCTCGCTCAATACTCAAGATCAGATGGCCAGCCAGAAAAGATCAGCAACAGGGATCTCTGGCAATCAGCAAACCAACCAGGGACCGATTGTGCAACAAATATGCAGGAATAAATGGAGGTGGATTGGCCATACATACTCTGAGGAAACCACCAAGTGACATCACAAGACAAGCCCTCGAGTGGAACCCGAAAGGGAAGCGGCGAGTTGGTCGTCCAAGGGCGACTTGGAGGAAGTCATGTGAACAGAAGATGAAAGCATGTGAACAGACGTGGAGCCAGGTGATAACGTTGACAGAGAACCAAACGCAATGGAGACGTGTGGTTGAAGCCCTCCCTATGTTCCTCTCGGAACTAAAGGAAATAATAACAATAATGGGGGAGCTGTTATTCTTTTAAAGAACAAAAACTCTGAAAAAGTCGGTAATTTTAAAAAATAAAATTTTTTTTAAATGATAAGAAAACTCACGGAAATAATGAACATTTCGTGTCCAAACAGTTGGTTCATCACAACGACCACGTCGTGTTGACAGTCTATAATGTAAAGACCTAAGAGTTTCTTCTTCCTCTTCATTTGCTGCTGCTGCTTCTCCTCCTTTCAAGTCATCATTTCCTGATGGATCCTCCGTGTTCATCGTCTGTTGCTGTGGTTGTTGTTCTTGTTGTTGTCGGTCTAAATCCAAATCATACATTGTCGTTTCTTTCAAATTATCCCCTGAACATTGATTGTTATGGTCATCACTGGAATTTTCATGATTGTAAACAGCAGCAGATTCATCAGACTGTGCAGATTTATTGATCTCTTCCAGTTTCATTGACGAAGAAGAAGCAGATGATTCATTCTCCTTCGTGTCTGATTTACCAGCAATTGGCAATGGCAGATGACGTAATATACGTTCTAATAAATCCAGTGTGTATAAACTTTGTGTAAAAACTAATAATTTATCACCGGCTAGAACACTGCCTTTTAGAATATCTAAGAAGAGGAGAACTTTCCCACTGTGTTCTACATTACCCGACTGGAAATTTTCACCCCATAAATCTTGATCACTAGCCCAATCGTAGGTTCCAACAGTGGCTTGATGTGATGAAGTAATTTGATTATAAAAATATCCTAGATTAGTGGTAGTAGTAGTTGGTGGTGTTGTCATTGTGTTCATCATTTGTCCAGAATTTGGCTGTGTGCCAACAGTTGTGGGCACAGAAAATTGGGGATTCTATGGGAGGGGGAAAATTTTAAAACAGAAAACGAAGGTATAAAAGTGTAGTAGTACATATAACGCAGGCTGGTATCCTGAAACAAAAGAAATAAAAGTCCACTAGATAATTACAAGCATACTTATTCACATTTGGCACTTTGTGCGTTTGAATTCAGTGGCGTTCAAAGGCGATCTTCAGAACGACAACCTACAGCAGAAAATATCAAAATCCGCAAAGAAGAACATTCTTTGCTGCTACATTAAGATTGGCTATCTACTGCCCATCGAGGAAGATGATGGCTAGGCCAGCATACGTAACACATGTCCTAACCATCTCACTCGATGTAACTTGACAATCTCGTCGATTGATTTCCCCTCCCACATACCTAGCACTCGATGGCCTAAACAACTTGATATTGGTCATCCTATTACATCTACGACCTAACACGGGAGATAGAACGTAGACACCTATGATTAAAGACAGATAGTCTTTTCATGTCTTTCACCCTCAATGGCCATATATCGCTCACAGCCAGTACACACGCCCTTTGTTTGACAGCCAGCCGGATATCACGTCTACGCCAGAGACGGCGTAAGTTGGCATATACCAAACGAGCCTTCTGTATCCATTCCAACATTTCGTCAACGATCAACCCGTTGGCACTGGCTGATACAACTTCTCAAATAAGTGAAGTGGTCAACACGCTTCACCAACCACTTCACTCTCTATTTCTAAGCTAGGAGTCAATGTAGTCCAGTCCTGTAGCATCATCTTGCATTTCACAAGGGGAACGAATCGCGTGACAAACATCCGCAGATTACAACTCAATGTGTTCAGAAGACTCTGCATTTTGTCAGCGTCTTCACCTGGAAGGACTATACTATCTGCATATTCTATGTGAACGAGATTTTTCCCTGACGGTAACAAGTCAGTCCCTGAGTCTCTGAAAGGCTTCTGGCTTCTTTTAACTTTTAAAATCCACAAAGTTAAAAGAAGCCTTTCGAAAACCGTATGTTTCGCTATATTCAGCATTGACGAGATCTTAACGATTCGGATGGAAAACCCTGAGTTATGTTCAGAGAAGAAACTTCTCCATCCCTTCCTTCTAACATGGGTATAGTTGCAAGTTCAACCGTTATTAATATTTAGTTAATTTATACTATTTTGTGTATTTTTCAAGCTACCTAGTGGCATGGTGGCCACATTGCAAACCTGAATGATAGAATTCAGTCTGCACCAAAGAAAGGACTAGACACATTGCACTGGTTACTAGTGTCCAATCAAAGTATCCCCTACAGTCAGTCCTGTAGGAGGTCAATCGCGAGCCCGAATAGCTCAACAGTGGTAACGTCTCTGATTGCAGCTCTCACTGGGTCACGCGAGTTCGAATCTCAGAAGGGACATGAATCCCTTCAAGGTGGTCGCAGATGCGCCTGACTTGCTGACTGGTGAGTGCCAACTAGCACGAAACCTAGGTAGTCCACGGCTTCCAGCCGATAGCGCCTCCAATCATCTAATGGCATCAAATCAATGTGCACCGTGATGGCGAGCTACCTAGTGGCATGGTGGCCATAATGCAAACTTGTCTGACTGATAGAATTCAGTCTGCACCGAAGAAAAAGGACTAGACACACATCGCACTAGTTACTGACTAGTGTCCAATCAAAATATTTATTAAAAACTTTATTTTCTTGTCTAAACTTTCTATTTAATCTTTTCATCTACTAAATAGTTTATTTTGAAACTTGTCTTCCAGCTATTTCATCATTAACATCCAATCTTTTCTGAACGTTTTTTTTCTTCATATTACGCAACCACCTTAGTCTGAACTTACAAATCACTCACACACACACACACCTTTGGTTACAATTTGATTATTCATCACTGTTTTGAAATATTTTGATAATGTAAACAATACTCCGTACTAATTAATTTCTATCCTTGTGCTCTATGTATGTATGTACGCATACACATTCGTATGCAGAAATAATTAGGTATAATTGCGATTGTACAACTGCTAATTGAATGAATTCACTGAAAAAAAGACTTTTCACTGAACAGCTTGTTTTTATTTTTTTTTTTTGATGAACTCAGTTAACACCGGAAGAGATTTTTCATGTGTCACGGTATGAACTACACCCAATATGTGTGAGATATGAAGTAGATAAACTCGGGAATTGGACAGAGAAGTTGACCAATAGCTGCTACCTTGCACAGTATGACTCATGGGGACTCAACTCACGCTTGTATCTCGCAATCGCCCTACCATGATAAAATGAGTGTCTTTTGGACACCGATCAGAAGAAAAGCAGTTGTATCAACGGTGAGGTGTGTTTCCCGCCACAGATGAACTAGCATAGCATGTCTGCGCTATGCTGCCTCTACGCTTTGAAGACAGGCGGTTAGAAAGGATTGACCTCAAAAATTGTACATTAGAGTACTGACAATGAAGTTAGTCGTAGCCGGCAATAAGAGCTTAAACGAACATAACTCTAAAAACCACTTCAAACAGGCCAGCCTTAAGCAGTTGTTTTTTTGGGTGCTGCGATCACCCGCAACACTAATGCTCCTTTTGTTTGAGGTCAGCCAATTGTTAGACTGTGGCTCATTGGTCTAGATGCTCGACTTTCAACCATTGGATTGAGGGTTCGAATCCCACTCCACCTAGGCCAAGTTCTTAAGCCAATGAAACACGTCTCTATTTTGGAATTAATCATGTTTATTCAGAGAGTTAGGTGATAGTGAAAGTCCGATCAACCTCCTGGAGATGAAGAACTTGGTTCAAATAAAACTTACACAAGCAACAAAGACGGAAAACAACAACAAGTGATTTTCAAATATGTAGAAAACGTTCTGCAACTGACGCTGCTGCACTAAGCAGTTTTAATTTCAAACGGCAACACAAGATTTCTGAATGACATTTCTAACCTGTGTCATAATAAGGTAGATACTATACTGACTGCCTAAGCTTCAACACAGAAATCAGAACGGAAGTGTAGAATTTCATCTTACCACCCTCCATGTAGTACACACACGCACACACACAAACGTAAGATAAGAATAAAGAAATTCAAAAGGACTCTGCTGAACAGAAATGTACGGGGGGAAAGAACAGTAACATGGAAAGCAATGAGGGCCCACATCAGGCAGTCTGCACCTCCCTATGTGGCTGCCTCAAACTAACAGTCAAGCACTTCATTCACTGATCTCATATTCTGCTTTGATCACTCCTAACTCTTTCCCAACAACTTAATTGCATATCAGCTAACATTGGTCACTGAAGAAGATGAAGGCTTGACGTTCGCAATCTCCACCGATGTGGCTTCACACCGCTGACTAACTAATCCTACTTACCCAACACACTCGACACCTAATCTGAGTATTAATCCCTATATTATACCACCTAACATGAGAGACACTTTGAAAAGGCCTTGGACAGCGTCGACCGACAGGTGCTTTGGCAACTACTTCGCTACTACCAAGGAGTGCCGCCAACAATTATACATCTCATCCAACAGCTGTATGACAATGCCACATGCCAAGTAATCCACAATAGGAAACTCACGGAAGTGGAGAAGGGTGTAAGACAAGGCTGGCTGGCTGCCTACTATATCCAATGATTTTCCTGATTGTGGTACACTGGATAATGCGACAAACAGTGGGCAACGAGGAAACAGGAATAAAATGGAACCACCAAAAAAAAACTTGGAGGATCTGGACTTCGCCGATGATATATGTCTGATTTCCCACAAACTGGAAGATATGCAAGTGAAAAGCAACAAGTTGACGATAGAAGAAGCATCAAAGATAGGACTCCAAGTAAACATACAGAAAACAGAGGTGATGAAGATTCATGGGCAACACCACCAACAGCAACAACAACAACAGACAACAATCAGTATAAATGGGAGGAACTTGAAAGAAACAACCTCCTTCACCTACCTACTTGGGAAGCATCGTTTCAACTACATGCGGAACTGACGAGGATATCAAAGCAAGGATCGGGAAAGCAAGACAAGCTTTCACTACTCTCAAGTCTGTGTGAAGGTAAACAGCACTCAGCATGTGAAAAAAATCCGGATTTTCAACTCTATTGTGAAGTCAGTGCTACTTTATGGATAAGAGACTCGGCACGCCACGAAGGGCACGTCGAACAAACTACAGACTTTCATCAACAGTTGTCTTCGCTCAATACTCAAGATCAGATGGCCGGCCAGAAACAATCAGCAACAGGGATCTCTGGCAATCAGAGAACTAACCAGGAACCGAGTGTCCAACATATAGGCTGGAAGAAATGGAGGTGGATTGGATTGGCCATACTCTGAGGAAACAAACCATCAATTGACATCACTAGACAAGCCATTGCTCGAGTGGAACCCGAAAGTGAAGCGGCGAGTTGGTCGTCAGTGCAAGGGTGACAAGGAGAAGGTCATGTGAAGAGGAGATGAAAGCATGTGGACAGACGTGGAGCCTGATGAAAACGTTGGCAGAGAACCGAATGCAATGGAGACGTGTGGTTGAAGTCCTACGTTCCTCTAAGAATTAAAGGAAATAATAATATAATAATAGTAACACGAGACAGAACGCGAACATCTGTGGTCATATCTTCCAATTCCAATGGATATGTGTCACACAGCCATAAAGTGGGACGCAGAGAACTGCTGCACAGCACACGCTTTCTATTCGATAGCTGGATATCCACGCCTACACCAGAAATGGTGTAAGTTGGTGAATACCACACGAAGCTTTTGTTGTCTTACATCAAATTTATCCAAATAAAGAAATCTGGAAAAAAAATCAACCCACCTGGGGCATATACGCCGCCGCCATTGGTATAGGAGACTCGGGCACAGAATATACAGAGTTATTTGCTGAATTTGACATATGACCACCACTACTACTACTAAGCGTTTGTTCAGCTGATGACATTGAATTAGCATCTCCACCAATCCAAGATTGTTGTGGCTCATTATGATTGGTTATTATTGAAGCTGTACTATTCGACCGGTGATATGGTCGACCGCTAGTGGAAGACACTGAGTTTGGGTTACTATTATTGGTGCTGTTATTATTATTTGCCGCCGCCGCCGCTGCAGAATCCTCTATATCGAAATCCATTGCTTCTTTATGCTCTTCCATTGCACGACGTAAGATATCAGGATGATTCCATATCTGGATAGAAGAAAAGACAAACATAAATAAGATGAAGAGTAATGAAAAGTAGACTGTAATGTGTTAAGTTAGTTATGTCACACAAAACACAACTTCAGGATTAGATGAATAGACTATTTCTCTACAAAAAGCGAAGCGAGTAACCTTAGTAATACCATGGCAAAGAAAATTGACTGTGTACAACTAGAGTGATCAAAATCAACTGGATTTTTGATCCGGATTACTAGTCAGTCAGATTAAATTTCTTTGGAACTTTACTTGTTAATCGAATGAGATGAAAATCAACTACCAAATTAAGAATATTGCCAAGTTCATGGGTTAGACAAGCTGAGGTCAGGAAGATACCCATCAACGAACGACAATAACAAGTACCAATCATCACCAACGAGAGAAATCTAAAGAAAACCAGCACTTTCACACTTATCTAGGCACCATCCTTGTCTGTCTGTCTGTCTATTTTCAACATAGAACTTTGCACCAATATACAGCGGTTCAAGTCGCTACACTCAACTCCATGTAGCACACAAACCAACAGAAGAAAGTAGAAGAAATGGATAACAGAGACAGTAGACAGGGATATGAGACAAAAGGAATAGTAATAACGAAGAACGATAGAGTTTCATTAGAAATTATAATGACCGATAGCTGCTACCTTGACGTGGTCATCGGGCTTACACATCGCAATGACCCAACAAGCTACACTGGTTGGAACTATTCTTCCTGCAGGTCCTAGTATGCCAGGAAGGTTGTTAGGATAGCGATTAGACAAAAAGTAGTTACCGGCTTAGTGTAAGAATTTTTCTTTTTTACATTATACTGGGAGTCTGTGGGCGAAGTCGTACTGCAGCTGGGGAACAGGGATGTAACAGCAGCAAGGTTAAGGTGTTTCCCTCAGATGACCATCATGCCAGCCAGCTGTACTGTCTCTCCATTCCGGAGGGAGGGAGAGGGTTAGATAAGGTCGACCCCAACAATTGTACATCCCGACTTACCTCACCTACGGTGGTCCGTAACCGGCGGTAAGTTTACTAATACGGAGCCAAACCAAGAAGCCAGTTCATACAGGCCGTGTGTGACCGCCCGGCCTCAAGCAGTTGTCCCGTGGGCTCTGCGGTCACGCAACACTAACCCTATTTCAGGTACCCAAAGAACCGCCCACACACTCTCGAGAGCACAAGAAGCCTCCCCGAGCATCATTCTCCTTTACACTTCCAAGGCAGTAAGTATCCTTACAACTACAGGGCGTCAAAGCCAGGATCAGAAAGTATAAAAATAGGCACTCATTACTCTGAAATCACACTAGAAATCCAGCGCCCCCCCCCCAATGCTGAGTGTAAACAACAAGATAAGGATGATCAACACAATTGTTAAGTCAATTCTTTTATAACTGATCAGACACTTGGCTTAAGACTTTCTTTCATCAGTAAGCTGCCTTCTCTCTCCATACTGAAGATCACATGGCTAGAAATGACAAGATATAGGGAAACACTATAGTACAATGAACCAACAAAGAACCTATTGCCCAGCATATATGGAGTGTGACAACCTGAACTCCTGCACTTTAGTGCATAAGTGTCTCCAGTGAAAACTTAGTATTTAAATAAAGCAACAACAGTGGTTTGTGCAGAATAATATGGTACCATCATTTATTTCGTTGGCTTCTCATCAGATGCTTACAGCCTAAATAAATTATGAGGCATGTATAAAGAAAAGGTTTTAACATACTTGCAAATTTTACATGATGTCAGTTGACAAAAGGTTCCGCAGTTGGTGAACAGTGCTCAAAAAATTGCGATTATATATAGTTTTTACACAGGCAGTTCAAGTTTAAACAAAATAAATGTATGCATACAATGGTAAAGGAGTTACGTAATAGAGACGAGAGTTGAGTAAGATGATGAGTAACGAGTCACCCCTCATCTTTATTACGTAACTCTTTTACCATTGTATGCATACATTTATTTTGTTTAAACTTGAACTGCCTGTGTAAAAACTATATAAGCATAATTTTCTGAGCACTCCTCACTAATTGTGGAACTTTCTGTCAACTGACATGTAAAATTTGCAAGTATGTTAAAACTTTTCTGAACGTAAACCTCACAATTTATTCAGGCTGTAAGCAGCTGATGAGAAGCCAACGAAATAAATGATGGTATCATATTATTCTGCACAAACCACTGTTGTTCTTGCTTTATTTAAATTCATCAAGGGGAATAAGTGCATCAATTTTCTCGAAAACTTGGTAGTCAGTCAGTCAGCAGTCAATATTTCATAATACAAATTCAAATAAATGCAATTTCTAGGTGTAAAAAAAAATAAAATTGTATAAATGAATAAAACACCAGCTTACTTTACAGCACATTGCATACGTCTTCAATGTATTCACTTGAGCCCAACCGAGTGGACCACTTGAGCCTAGACTACGCATAAATGCTGCATACAATGTACGTTGCAATGGGGATAATTTAATCAACAGGACGATTTCTGTTTTTGGCGGTAGACTAGCCTTGAGAACAGCATGTGAACGTCGTTGGACAAAACCTGACAGTAGATCATGTAGGACATGTGCTCGCCCCTGCATCACTTTACGATCCTCCGGTGTACTGTCAATACACTGACCATTTTCAATAGGTCGTTGAAACATATTTGTAAATTCTTGTTTTGTCCCCAGATAGTTAGGTCGAACAAAGTCAACCATACACCAATATTCCATAAGATTATTTTGAAGTGGATACCCAGTGAGTACTACACGTCGACTGTAAGAAAAAAGTGTTTTTTTAGAAAGAAAATATGATAGAATTATAAGTTTTGACGAGTTGATCACAGATTGATATCAGTTAGAGAACCATTGAAAACAAGCAGGGGGTACTGGACAGCTGTTTCATCAGTCTAGTTTGGGAATCATCGCCAGTACGCATCCACTGGGGTTCGAACTCAGGACCTTCCGGTTACCAGGCAAGCTGGCTCGTATACCATTCAGCCACTGGGTGGCACCCGATTCAATGGCCAGCCCATGAATTCTAACTTCTACCAATTCGTGATTTAGCGCGACCACCAATCAATATCATCGGTGGGAACTCCATCACTCACTCCCGATTGGATGGACCTCACCGGTCACGACTTCTCATCTAGAACTCCAGGAAACTCCATCCTGTAGCAAGTCACTAGTGACGATATGAGCGTGAGTTAGATGGTTCTCATGGCTCGCTTATATGACTGTGTATGGTTTTCTATAGTCTTGGCAGACGTATAGAAGATATTTGCATGCTGAATTGGTTGGCAGGGATAACGATTTCATTGAATTTGGTGGCTGCTGGCTTCGTTTATAGGGGCCTATTGTCACTATAGCGTCGCTATGCGTGCTACTTTTGCATATAATAATACGTTTGGCTAGTCTTGTATGCGAGATGAGTTCTATTGGGCTTGTCTATGCAGTGCATAATTGATTGACGCGATCAACGATCGGCGTAACAATGCTTACCTATGCATTACTATGTATACTAACGGTGCAAATGGTCTACCGAGGGAGAGGGCTCTCGAGAGGTTGCAGGATGATCCTGCATGCCGGTCTCGTCTCGCAAGAGACAGGGATGGATGTGTTTGGTTCTCCTGAAAACCAATACCCAGTCAATGAGTGTACCACTGTGTGAATAAACTGGTTGATCCTGCCAGTATTCATATGCTTGTCTCAGAGATTAAGCCATGCATGTCTAAGTACATACCTTAAAACGGTGAAACCGCGAATGGCTCATTAAATCAGCTATGGTTCCTTAGATCATATACACTACATGGATAACTGTAGTAATTCTAGAGCTAATACATGCAATTATGCCCTGACCCGCAAGGGAACGGGTGCATTTATTAGAACAGAACCAACCGGGGGCAGTTTCGGCTGCCTCTGTTGAATTCTGTGATGACTCTGGATAACTTTAATGATCGCAGTCGGCCTTGTGTCGGCGACGGATAGAGATATCAATCCGTGATCAACTCGTAAAAACAAAACTAACCCTTACAAAAACCAACACTAGAGAATTATAAGTGGAAAGGATGATTAGTTCGGGGGGGGGGGGTGGTTATATGTTACCTATTATTAAAGACTTATTCATCAGATTACTACTCACTGTGTTTTAATCGCTTTTAAAGCTTTTGATATAGACGCTTCACTGTTTTTAATTCGATGACCTTCATCACAGATGACAAGTTGAGGACCGGGATCCAGAAGGGCTGTATGAAAATCTGTTATGTTAAAAAAAAAGAAAAAACAGTAGCAAAAACAATAATAATCGAGAGATAGATGAGAACGCATACAGACATTGGTAAAACCGACAATATTTTAACTAACATTATCCAATAAAAGGTTAACAAGAAAAAGTATAAAGGCTCTTGCAAGCATCATGCAATGTTCCTTATGACGTAACACACTAGAAGCAAGTTATTCAGTGAGATTTCGTAATCCAGACATAGAAGAAAACTATATTTACAGACACTGCTTAGGTGGCTGTGAAATACAGTCATAATAAGGATTCGAGTAGAGTATCATATCGATGCGCTTAGACCACTAGCAACTAACTCGGCCACACATTTGAAACATATAGACTAATACAAAAATCAAGTTTATTACGGAGAACTAAAGGCTATGCATGAGTTCTTATTTTATATTCATTGGTGTTTACCGTCCCGAGGACCCCAACCAGCTAGTCAAGAAGTCTACACCTTCCTACGTGGCTGGCTGGCTGGCTGGCTTAAACTAACTCTTATGGATTTCATTGACTGTTGAAGCCATGTTCTCGTTTAACCACCACTAGGTCTTTTCCAGCCTTATCCCTTTTTAGCTAACATTTCCCATTGTCGAGGAAGGCAGGCGATGACTAGGCCAGCATACGTAACACATGTCTTAACCATCTCAGTCGATGTAACTTCACCTCTCGACTGATTTACCCTCCTTACCAAGCACTCGACGCCTAACCTCAGTATTGCCTACCCTACTATACCACTTCACATGGGAGATAAAACGCAGGTACCTGTGATCAAATACAGCTGACCAGGCTTTTCATGTCCTCCACTCTCAATGGCCAGGTCTCGCGCAGCCATTAAAGGAGGATGGAGCGGACTGCTGAGCAGTATACACGCCTTCTGGTTGACAGCCAGCCGGATATCACGTCTACTAATCCAGAGACGGAGTAAACTGGCATATGCGAAACTAGCTTTCTGTATCTGTGCTGAGATTTCTTCAAGGATCAACCCGCTGAGGCTGGCTGAAGCAACTTCCCAAATAAGTGAAGTGGTCAACGTGCTCTACTACTTCACTCCCTATTTCTAAGCTAGGAGTCAGTGTAGTCCAGTCCTGTAACATCATCTTTCATTTGGCTGGAGCGAATAGCATGACTAGGGTCATTACATTTGTCTTATTCTGCAAGCGTGTTGATTGAAGGCTACTTGGTCCAATGTGAGGCATAGTCACCAATGTGACACGAGTTGTATGACACTACTGTACATTGTTGTTTTATGCTCCAATCTCTTTTATATTCAATGTTAGACACCAACTCTGATAAATTAATAGGTGGGTGGGTGGGGGGTTAACTTAGTGTTGAAGCCAGCGACTTTACCATTCATCCAAAAGCTGATAGTCGTATTCTAGGACTTAAGGACGAGTTGGCTGATCACATTACATCAGATCAGTTAAAGAACAATTATTTATTTATTTATTCAAACGCAGAAAAACTTGGTACAATATGGCACCAAGAAGATGCGCCACACAATAATAATAAAACAACATAGATTAAAAGTAGAAATATAAGTAAAGAAAGGATAAAGAATTTCATCCGGAAGGAAAAGTCATACTTAACAAGTTCAAACAGTATTCGTCAACTATCTTCAGGAAGGGAAGAAAGAAGGAAATTGCAGCACTTTCGCCATTGATTACGATTCTTGCCCATATCCGATAACGTTTCTAGCCATCGATTCGAGCTATCTCGCGGACCCCAACCAGGGAGTCGTGACACACCAACCGATGCTAATCTAGCACAAATATCCTTCATCCCACGACGCCACGTCATGGACTGACCACCCCTCCGCCTTTTCCATCCCGTCCCAGGGCTAGCGAACAGAGACCTGTACGGAAGCCTCTGGGATGACATTCGCAGCACATGTCCAAGCCACAGGAGCTGGTGTTTCCAGATGACGACACTCAATGAATGGTGATCTCCACTATGTTCAAACACACGCCGCCGAACCTCAGAATTACTCACGCGATGATGCCATCGAACGCAAGCAATCCTGCGGAGACAGCGATGACCGAACACGCAGAGTCGCCACACATCCTCAGCTCGGAGAGGCCAGGTTTCACAGGCGTAGAGCAAGACAGCCCACACCGAAGCATTGTATACCCAACCTTTGACAGCCAGGCTAACGTCGCGACGGCGCCAGAGGTGGCTCAAGTTGATGTATGCCACCCTAGCTTTCATTATACGGTTGGAAATCTCATCCGTCACCCGTCCGCCAGCACTCACACAACTACCCAGGTACACAAACTTATCAACAACTTCAAGCGGTTCACCCGCAAGAGTGAGCGCAGGTACAGGCTCCTGCCAATTTTGTAACAGTACTTTGCACTTAGATGGCGCAAAGCACATACCATACTTACAGACACTGATCGCCAACTGATTAAAAGCGATTTGGGCAGCCTGCATGCTATCGCACAGTAAGACGATATCATCTGCATACTCAAGGTCGGAAAGTCTACCTCCAGGGAGCAGATCTACACCACCTTCACGCACATCCCTCAGAGCTGACTCCAGAATTTCATCGATGGCAAAGTTAAAGAGAAATGGAGAGATTGGGCAACCCTGTCTAACCCCACTGTTGGTTGGGAACAGTGATGATAGTTGGTTGTATGCCCTCACTCTACCTGAGGTGTTTCTGTATAGGGCTTTCAAGATGTTAACAAATTTCTCAGGTACACCTCTCTCTAACAGACAGCTCCAGAGCATGAATCGAAGGCGACCACTTGATATCAAGAAACACAACGATCGTTGGCCTGCAATACGTGTGGCGGTGTTCCAACAACTGACGAAGGGTGAACACATGATCAATGCATCCACGACCTGAACGAAACCCAGCCTGCTCTTCGCGAATCAATCCTTCACGTATTTTGCACAGCCTGCGAAGCAAGACAGAAGCCAATAATTTAGACGCGACTGGTAGCAGACTGATACCCCTATGATTGTCACACGAATTACGTCGACCCTTTTTAAAGATAGGGACGATGATAGCTTCGTTCCACATTGATGGTACACTCAGTTTCCCATACCTTCCTGAACAACCCAGTTAGAGCCATTGTAAGAGTCTCGCCACCATCTTTAAAAAGAGCATCTTTAAAAGAGAAATACCAGTGAGAAATACCACTAGACCATAAATTGATAAAACCTGTGTAGGGAGGGGGAGGGGGGAGGAATTTTCAGATGGAGCTGTCTCCTCATAATGAAACTGGTTAGGTAGAGACAGACAGACAGAAAGACACGTTAAACAGAAATAAACCTGATACAGAAATGAATAAATAAATCTGCGATAACATAGAGAAAGAGAGAGAATGAGAGGAAATAAACAAAAGTAGAAATTGTATATTTATATAACAGCTTACCTGCCCACATTTTTTCGCGTTTCTCCTCCTTTTCAATATCAATACAAATCTCCTTTTTTCGACGTTTAGGCATTCGTACATCAACTCTTGTAGTTGTATATAATGAAGGTGGATTCAAACGTTTTTGATTTAAAAGTAAACGAAACATTTCATAGCCTAACAGTAGGACACCGCCTTCTTCAAACCATTGTTGAATAATCTTTGTTACAAAACAAAAAAAGAAACCAGATTGAGTTAAAAACTGTCAAACTAATTGATAACGCTAACAAAAAACAACAACCACCTATATAAGAATAAAACTTGGGCACTGTGGTAGAGTGTAATTCCGTTATGGATAAGATTTTATTTTCATAGAGTCTCACAGTGTTCGTTGTACAGTAATATTTACTGATGACCACGTTTCGAGCACAATTTATTGCTCATAATCATATCAAGGTAATCACACGACTTCCTAAATTCATTTATATAATTCCGTTGTTTTTCACTTGAAAACCTTGACATGATTATGAGCAATAAATTGTGCTCGAAACGTCATCAGTAAATATTACTGTACAACGAACACTGTGAGACTCTATCAAAATAAAATTTACCTATAATGGAATTACACTCTACCACAGTGCCCAAGTTTTATTCTTATATCAACAACAACTACATAATCAAACAGCCGACTGCAATTCAATGCAATCGGCAGCAATGGGCCATGCCTATTGTGAGTATGAGGGGGCTAGTGATACTACCTGTTTGCCCCAACCTTGGCAGGTGGAGCGGATTTCGAACTGATAACCCATGCGGTTGGAAGCCAAGCGCCTAGACCAGTGACCCACTGCTCCACTAAGTTAATACCAACAACAACAAGATTGAAAGGAATATATCTTCTCTTTTAGGCAGATTTTTCATATAACTTTTTTTGGTACAAGTATGGAATTTTCAACATTTGATACCGGTAGCCCAAATTTTGCAGGCCGACCATTGATATCAGGAGATCGAACCCCGGACCATGTGCTTGGTCGGCGAGAGTCCTAACCGCTGTGCCACCGATGCATGCAGTTAAAAAAAATCTAGACAAAATTCACTCACTTGATGTCGTTGACTCATTGTTTTCACTGTATCTCGAACGACGAACAATTTGAACGGTCGAAGGCTACTACTACTAAGCAGAGAAAAGTTAGGATCAGTGGATTCGCCAAAATCCCCTTCTTGATGCAGCATATCATGATGTGATTCTTCAGTCTTATCATGTGATTCAAACATAGAAGACCACATTTGTTCTTCCAAGCTGGCCTCTGTTGTCTTAGGACTAGTAGGCGGAGGAGGAGGAGCAGCAGCAGCAGCATTTGATTCACCACAGTTCGATGCGTCTACCTGATGATGATCAGTAGTAGGCGATTGCATCTGAGGCTTTGATTCTTGTTGATAATGAGTTGATTTTGGCATTGAAAAATGATGAAAAGCTTTGAATTTTTTATTTGTTGCAATACTTGACAAATCAGTTGGTAACCATAATTCAAACTCGGCTTGCCAATTCTAAAATTCAATAAAAACAAAGACTGCCTACATTTCTGTGATGAGCCCCAGTAAAAACAACAGTTAAGTCAATAAACGCTTTGCCTATTTACACTTACCATCTATCAGTTGTCTTATAGAGTGATTATATTATTATTATTTCCTTCAGTTCCTAGAGGAACATAGGGAGGGCTTCAACCACACGTCTCCATTGCGTTCGGTTCTCTGCTAGAGTTTTCACCTGGCTCCACGTCTGCCCACATGCTTTCACCTCCCCTTCACATGACGATCAACTCGCCACTTCCCGTCCGGGTTCCACTTGAGGGCCTGTCTAGTGATGTCACTTCATGGTTTCCTCAGAGTATGGCCAATCCACCTCCATTTCTTCCTGCTTATTTGTTGCACAATCGGTCCCTGGTTGGTTCGCTCATTGCCAGAGATCCCTCCCTGTTGCTGATCTTTTCTGGCCATCTGATCTTGAGTAGTAGTGAGTGAAGACAGGTGTTGATGAAGGTCTGAAGTTTGTTTGAGGTGCTCTTCGTGACGTGCAGTGCAAGTCTGATTTATATAGTAGCACTGACTTCACATTGGAGTTGAAAATCCGGATCTTATTTTTGATGCTGAGTGCTGTTGACCTCCACACAGACTTGAGAGTAATGATATGAGTGAAATGCATCCGAATTTCAGAATAAACGCCAAGCTTTGTATGCTTATCTGTGGAAGCGTGTCAGTGATTAATACCTCCCCAGTTCGCCCCACACCGTGGTCATATACACATGACAAAAAGAAATACCACAAACAATAACTATATGCAGGTTAATACTACAATAGACACAGCGAAACTCTCCATGCTATCTAGTCACATTGACACCTTTTTGAGTGCTGCAGTGAAATAAAATTCTTAAATGTCGAAAATCAAAGACAAACAACAATAAGCAATACTTTAATTGCACTTTAGATTTTCCCGCCAATTTCTTAGACCGAAGTGCTCGGTCTCAGGTTGACATGTCTGTCGGCTTCTTGTGCAGATGCTTCGTAGATGTTGGGGCATTTAATTAGAATTTAATTCGTGGATAGTGACTAGCAGTGGAATCCAGGATGCGCATTTCGTCCTATCAATCCACAAATTAAATTCTAAATAAATGCCTAGACATTGTTGAAGCATCTGCACAAGAAGCCGACATGTCAACCTGAGACCGAGCACTTCGGTTCAATCAATCGACGGGAAAATCTAGAATTCAATTCAATTAATATGACCCATTGCACAAGAGGTGACTCTCGTGGCCCAAGTGGTCTAGTGGATAACGCTTTGGCGTTCGAAACTATGGGCGCTGGGTTCAAGCCTCGGTGGGAACATCATCACTCACTAAGAAATGCAGGTACATCCAGATAACGAGTCCCAAACACGACGGAATACACATCCTGGATTCCACTGCTAGTCACCATCCCCAAATTAAATTCTAATAAACAATACTCTTATCGGCTACTTAGAAAATTGCTGAGTTCAACTGCTGGCAATGGCATGTTACATGTTATGAGACGCATTTATTGTGTGAGGGCTAGTGTTACGATCCAGTTGCCTAAGCTGAAGTAGCTAGCTGGTGAGGGAGTCGAACCCAGGACCCAGTGTTTGAGCCAATGAGCTCAACACCCGATGATGTAACGGTAGAATAAACAGAGAAGTTGTTTAACGACTCTAGCTCATACACGTGTAATTATGATTGATATGATTATGAACGATAAATTTTGTTCAAAACGTCATCCAGTAAATAATACTGTTTCACTGTGTGATATATCTAATAAACAAATCAAAATGGAATTACGTTTCCTCATTGTTTGAGAAGTACGCACCCCGTGACCGTCAATTTACAAGGTGAGCTTATTGACTATTCCAGCCATTGGGGTAGAATCCATTGACCTACAGTGAATTCAAACCTCTATGGTCGCGTTGTGTATCACGAATTAGGAAAGTTAGAATACCTACATCATAGGTCACTGGATTCCCTCCCTCTCCCCAGTGGCTGACTGATCTACGAACTTGCTTTGTAAACACTAATGGTCTTGGGGGTTCGATCTCTGGAGAGAGGTTGCGGACGCGTACTGCTGAAGAGTCTCAAGCAAGGACAGAAAGCTGTCCAGTACTGACTGGCCTGATGGTCTTCAATAGTTCTTTAACTGCAGTCAGAATCAGTCAGTCAGTGATGAATTATGAAATAGATCGATTTATACAAATTCTACAATCCTCAAAATTGGTGATATACCACCAAAACAAATGCAATAACTAAGACGTCAACTGTGGTTGGTTATATACCCATAAGGTCTAATCTCTTACATGGATGTTAAAACTTGTTTGAATTATGAAAGAAAGGAAACAGAAATCAATGTGAAGGCGAATAACTTTATGGATTTAGTGACGATTTTGGTATCACCTCTCTTAGATTTCTTTTTATTTTAACTGTAATTCAGTTAATATGTGACAGTAAATGGTAATGTTTCTGAAATGTAGTCGGGGAAGTAAACTCTCCTAACTAATTAAACTAACTGTTACTCAACAGCCACGCCAAGTTGGTACTGAGTCACGCTTGTTGTATAAGATATAGCGATACGACCTGGCTGCCTAAACCTCAGTAAATCGAGGACTTTAACCCGTGACTCACTGATAGGAAATCGAGAACCTCCACCAATGAGTTACAGCGAGTTTTTTTCCTTCACGTTCCCCAGTGGAACATATGGCTTCAAGCTTGTGGCTTGAAGTTTCTGTAGCAGTGTTTATTTTTACAGGATGGAGTTGCTAGCCTCATGCCCAACCTTTCCTCTTCACCAGCATTATTTCTGGCTTAGCAAGGTAAAGGAGTGCGTCGGCCGGGGATCGAACCCCGGACCATGTGCGTGGTCGGTGAGCGCCCTAATCGCTATGTCACCGACGCACTACAGCGAGTTAAAGCACCACATTAACCAACAACAATGTAATTCAGACATTATGACAGGACTGATCTATTGGTTTAATGTTGTACAATAATGAGGAATATATTCCGTGTATGAGGACTTTCCTAAAGTAGTCGTTAGATTTACATCAAACGGCAGTAAACGGCTAAAATAAAATGGCGTAGTTTGTTTTGATTTAGAAAATCTGAGGGATATCTCTGATTTCCTTACTTTGCTTAAGTGGGAAAAACAACAAAATTCCTCTACTCAATAGGCTAACACAGTTTCTCGAACAAATAATGCTACTAATAATAAAGTTGAAACACAGTATAATATGTAGCAGAATAAAGCTTCTGAGAACATACCTGTATCGTATTGATCGGGACGATGACGAGTACTCTTTGAGCTTGACAAAAACGAAATAATATGTCAAGAAATCCGATAATCTGAATGGTTTTACCCAAACCCATACTATGCGCTAAGATACAACCGAATCCTTCGGTTGTTTGAAATCGTTTCACACTTTCGACAACATTGTCGTATAAAAAGCGTATACCGCTAACCTATAATAAAAGAAGTGAAAAGAAAAAAAGGAAATTGGAAACTATGAGAAGTAAATGTGCGCCGATCACACACACACACACACACACACGATCCGGATTCCAATCCCGGCCGCCGAACACCTAAACTGCATTTAGCCGGTAGTAAGAGAGAAGGTTGAGTGTGAGGGCTAGCAACCTGAAGGCATAACAATAACACAACCGCTACAGAAGTCGTGAAATTCAAGCTCGGAGCGCAGAATGGGAAACAGTCTTAAAAATCACTAGTTGTTCGTATTATGAATTTAGATAAAACCATAAGAAGACGTAATTTGTCTGAATTGTGTATTGCATATATTTGCACAACACGCATTTCGAACAATCTGATCACACACAGACTTGTCATAGGAATACATATATGAAATTAATAAAGAGTTAAGAGGTGAAAAGATAAACTACTTAGGTCAAGTTAAAAGGACATACTGAAGGCCAAAATAACAATGAAAACCACTAAGCCAAAAACAGAAGTAATAGTACATCTACCCTGGTATGTATTAAAACAAAGTTTACCAAGGAAGGTTTAATGTGATGACGAATTGTTGCTTTGAACGCATAGAGGTGGTTTAAACTTTCTAACTTTAGGATAAGCCCCAAACACGTTTTATAGATAGGTTTAAACGATTTGTTAATGTCAATTTTATGTCCTGTCTCTATAATATGTTTCGTAATAGAGAAGCTGGGTCTCCTGTCCTCATCATTAATGGGTTCTGAAGATTCTATTTGTTTCTGGAGCCATTTAGGAATATGCTCTGAAGCCAGCCCTTACTTGCAGAGATCGATGAGTCCTCCCTCCTATGTATGTATGTGTGTCCACACGTACATTCAAATTGGTAAATACAGTGGGATGTGACATCATTTTTCGCATGTTCAAAGGGCTTAGATGGATGGATATATTGGTTTCACATTCTCAATTATTATGATATTAGCTGCATAAAAATTCTATTTAATAGCAGCGTCCAACCTTTGTCTAGTTATCAAGCTGCTATGATGCCCCATATAGGGTAGCTTGATGTACACGTCTTTCTTAGCGACGAGTTGGAGAATGGATCGTGGTGTTCCGACTACTTTATATCTCCTCATGAACTTGTCTGGATATCAACCAGAGTTTGTGTCAACTTTCTTTCTTCCTCATCAAGTGTGTCTTCAGTGCATATTCTTTGGATTCCACTGAAGAGGCACCTTACTAAGCCTCTTTTGTACCAAACAGGGCATAAACTGTGGTAATTAAGATACTATCCTGTTCAGGTAGGTTTTCTATAAATAGATCTTTTTATTGACCCATCAAGCCGTCGACTAAGCAATGTGTCTAGGAAAGATAAACAGTTATCTTCCTCTTCTACAGACAGATGTAAGTGATATCCTATTCTGAACTTCATTCATTCAATTTAAAATTGAGGTGGCAGAACAAGACTTATCACTGATGATTACAATATCATCTACATACCTTCTATAAAGTGGCACATTTTCGATTAAATCCTCCGATAAATTCTCAATGTACGACATATAAATATCTGCTAAAAGGGGGCCTAACGGACTTCCCATAGCAACACCATTAACTTGGCGGAAACAATCGCCTTATAATTATGTAAAACGTAAATCTGGTGTATTATCACCACCAAGAGATGCACAACACAACAGTACATATAAAGAAGATAAGCAGAGAACGACTGAGGGACATCATCCAGAAAGCAATTAGGCATATTTTTCAAGATCACTTAACATTCATTAATTCATAGTATTTTCGGAAAGTGAAGAAAGAAGGAAGTTTCACCATATTTGCCATTGATCACGATTTTTAGCCACATCTGATAACGTGTCGAGCCACCGATTTGAACTATCCTTCCGACCCCAACCAGGGAGTCGTGATGTTCTCACCTAACACGCCAAGTTCATACCCTAACCACCTCTCCGCTTTTTTCATCCTATCCCAACGCTAGCGAACACAGACCGGTACGGGATGACATTGGTAGCACATTTTCAAGCCACCAAAACCGGTATCGCCAGACGAACACACCAAATGAACGGTGATCTCTACCTTGCCTACCAAATACACATTGCCGGACCTCAGAATTACTCACACGATGATATCATCAAGAGGAAGCAATTCTACGGAGACAGCAACGATCGAATACGCAGAGTAGTCGCCTCACTTCCTCAGCTCGGAAAGGCCAAGTTTCACAGACGTAGAGCAAAACTGCGCGCACCGAAGCATCATAAACCCGACGTTGAACACCCAAGCTGATGCTAGAAAGCTTGGTTTGCAGCTATGCTATCTTAATAATTCACAGTCAAACTACAGCTCTAACATTCAATCACAGATCAGTTGCACTAGAGGCTAATGACTATGGGATTGAACTAGGAGTCAAGAGTAAAAAGATAACTAAACAAAAGTCAATAAGTAATTCCATATTAGTTTATTTATTACATGTATCACACAGTGAAACAGTATTATTTACCGGATGACAGTTTCGAACACAATTTATTACTGTTCGTAATCATATCATCAATTATAATCACACGACTTCGAAACTTGAGTTTTATAGTTTTCAAGTATTGGTTTGGTAGGGATATTGTTTAATTGTATGGAGGATTTCATCATGAGCTGACATCAGTTAGAGAACCACTGTTCTCTCTTATTTTGTCGTTGTTCGGGGTAGTAGTAGAATTTTCCATATATATGAGTGGACAGGTGTTGAATCATTCCTATTACACGTATTTGCAGTTGAATAGTTCAGCTATACTACTCACTAAATGCAATTACACACTACCATACAATAGGATAGGATAGGATGACAGTCTTAAAATCTAATGTCACAGGGTGGAGGGAGGGAGGGATTGATAACAGAAGCTTTGTTTAGCGAATCAACTGAGAGAGAATACGTGTAATAGGAATGATTCAACACCTGTCCCAGATATCTGGAAAATTCTACTAACCCAACAACGAAAAATAGGAGAGAACAAAGAAAACTATAAAACTCAAGTTTCGAAGTTGTGTAGTTATAATTGTTGATATGATTACGAACAACAAATTGTGTTAGAAACTGTGTCATCCAGTAAATAATACTGCTGTTTCAATGACTATGTGATACATCTAATAAACTAATATGGAATTACCTACTATCACCACAGTGCCGAAGTTTTACATATATATTAAAACTCAATAAGAGCTTTACTTGCACATATATGATGTCCAATGATGTCCAATTTCGACTTGTTATCTCAAGTTTCTGAAACTGTAATATAACCACTACTTTGCAATTACAAGTAGTCTACTGCCCAAAAACTAAAAACCAAAAGGTTCCATCACCTATCAAACAGACGATTTTAATTCTCACGAGTTAGTTTGTAGCGATTTCGATTTACCCCAAGTGTGACTATGGATTGATATCAATTACAGAACCTGTGGCTTAATGGTCTACGAGCTCGCCTTGCAACCAGAAGGTCCTGGGTTCGAATCCCAGTGGGTACCTACTGATGAAGAGCCCCAAACTAGGACGAAACAGCTGTCCAGTACTCCCAGGTTTTCCAGTGGTTCCTTAACTAATGTCAGCTCATGATGAAGTCCTCCATGCAATCAAACAAAATCCCTACAAAACCAATACTTGAAAATTACAGAACCACTGGAGACCATGAGGGAGTACTGGATAGATGTTTCAGTCTTGTTTGCTGAATGGGTGAGCGTACTAACGAGGAGTCCCAAACCAGGATGAAACAATTGTCCAGTAGTTTGCCCTAATAGTTTTTTCAATGGTTCTTCAGCTGATATCAATCTGCGGTAAAACCTGAGATAGCTTTTCTAGCAAAATGACAGCAATAAGTAAGAATCACGTGATATATATTATCATAAGACGCTGCTTTGAGTAGGGAAAGATTGAAAAGCAGACATGGGTTAACACAGATAAGTGCATAGCTGAAAGCAACTTGCATATAACTGGGAATCCTATTGATATATATTTCCTTAAAACCATTTAACTAGTACTTTTTGATAGTCGAATGAGAGAAATTTTTAAAATGAGATCGACTCAATGCTCAATATTTCACTACTCACCTGATGTGGTTTAATCACTCTGGCCATTTGAGGGCATAATACAATTTCTGGTTCTTCCTCCTGATCACGTGATGTATTAATAATAATCTTGCCATCAATATCAGCTAAATTATCGGCGTCTTGTATTTCACAGATTTCTTCTTCAACTTCCACTTCTGGTTCTTCTTCTTCACCTTCGCCTTCTTCCTCCCCATCGCTGACTTCAATGACATTAGAATCATCGAGCTTTATAATGAAATATTTGAAATAAAAGACAAAATGCTTTATAAAATAGCCGCATTTATGAGGATTTCATTAGAAACACTAGTGTCTATATTCTTCGCTGGAGGTACATCGACTGAGATGGTTAGGACATGTGTTACGTATGCCTAGTCATCGCCTTCCTCGACAACGGGCAATGTTAGCTGACATAGGGTCAGGCTGGAGAAGAGCTAGCGGCGGTCAAACCAAAACATGGAACCAGTCAATGAAATCCACAACAGTCAACTTCAGCCAGCCACGTAGGAAGGTGTAGACTTCCTGACTGGTTGGGGTCCTCGGGATGGTAAAAACCAATGGTTGGAAACAATTGGTGACATGGCTCAAAATCGTTCTCAGTGGCGCAGATGCATCCACTCCTTGTGACTCATGATTTCCAATGAAACTGTTTTGTTCTTCGTTATTACTATTCCTTTGTCTCACACCTCTGTTTACTGTTTATATTATGCATTTCTCCTAATTTCTCTTGCTTTGTGTGCTACATGGAGTGTGGCGACTTAAAACTGCAGCACATATGTGCAAAGTTCTATGTCGAAAACCGACCAACCGATTAAATTAGCTCGACACTAATGTCAAGTCAGTGCTCCTGAGTAGTGCATTTCCAACAGGCTACTGAAGACCTCCACCAACAAAACTGCCTTCGATCGACACCGAAGATCGGATGACAAGCCAGGAAGAAACCTACACAAAGAACCAACTAAAAATCTATCGCCCTAGAAATATGCATAAGAGAATGGAAATGAAAGCTGAGGAAACCGTCAAGTGGTATCACATGTTAGGCCATCGCTCGAGTAAAATCCGAACGGGGAAACGACGAGTTGGGCATCCGGGGATGACATGGAGGCGATTGTGTGAGTGGGGAATGAAAGCGTACAGGGAATTGTGGAGCCAGTTAAAATGGCTGGAGAGGACAGGGTGAAATGGAGACATAATGTTGAAGTCGTATGTTCCACTCGGAACCCAAATGACTAATTATTATTATTATTATTATTATTATTATTATTATTATTATTATTATTATATGCTTAACACTGATTTCATCAGATGAAATTAGAAAACCGGCGCTATCATCAGCTGCTGTAAAATATAATGGTGATATAAGTACACCACTGGTTGATTTGAGTACTTAGAAACAACTCATGTCCAACCAAATCGAGGTGATCTAAAAACCATTAGTTAAGGTATGAAACAGATCGAGTAACACGGTCTGAAGAGTTTGGGTATTCACATAAAACCATAGTGGATTTTCAACACGAAGTGTAATTTGTGTGACTCATAATCACTGGAGTAAACGCTAGTCAAGTGAAGTTTTATGGCATCTGGATAGATGATTCAGTGGGTTTGCCTACTTGCCTCTCTCAATTTGGAGCGAGCTAGAGATTATATTTATACACAGCAACCTTTCCTATTTTGAAACAGTTTTGTAAATAATCAAAATAACCTATAAAACACAACTCCTGGGATGCGCGTAAACAGCTGAATAACAGAGACGGCCTATGAACGAACTGGTACAGCTGAGGGTGGGTAGACTTCGATTCGCCTCTCAAAATGCTGTCATGTTACCAAGCGTGTATACCCTCTGCCAGGTAAATCTTATTCAGTGACTTCCCGAGGTTTTGCTCACACACAGAAGTGAAAAGATGAACAGGAATATATGGCGCTTGACAACTGAACTGGATGACATGTAGGTATACCCAGGGGAGATGGAAAACCCTGAATATCACCAATCTATGTTGTACTTGGGCTCCAGAATCCAAAAGGTTCAAATGGTGTATGAACTTGTGGCGTATCGCTTGATTCCCATAATGTACCAAGTTTGTTTTAATAATTATATAACTTTACAAGATATGAAATAAAATACTAACGTCAATTGTCAATAAATTTACCTGTTCATCATCAGAATCCCCTAGTAAAATTGCATCATCCTGTGACTGACCCATACGCAGAGATTGTAAATCACTCCATGTGGAACCAAAAAGTGAAGCAGAAGCCGATCTGACAGCACGTTTTTGCTCTGATTCAGCACCAGAACATGAATTGTTAAAAGGTGATTGCTTCTCTCCATTAGTGAGAGTATCTAAAGGAGCATGTTTTGAGTCTTTTTCGGCTATTTCAATTGGGCTTTGTTGACTATCAATAGTTGAACCATTATCTAAGGAATTGCATTCTTCAGCATCAGATTCATATTTTCTTTCTTTCTTACACAGGGGAGCAGTTTCTTGAAGTTCTGATTCAAAATTACCATCTGAACACTTCAGAAGACCAGGAGATGTTGATGAGTCTGCTTTGAAGAGAAAATGTGTTTTTAAAAGCTACAAGCAAATGCAGAGCAGGAGCCACGCACGACTGAAGTGCAAAATAATATATCTCGATATGGTAAAAAGCGAGACTAGACAAACGAAATATCCAAAGTTTGGCGCTTAACACCTTGGGTATCTAAACTACTTCTGTGTAATAGGATGCCGTTATATCGTCTCAATGCAGACCAATCTTGCAACGTCACCTAACATTTGACGGGAATAAATCACATGCTAAACATACCAATTCAAAAGACTAAATTAGTGTCTTCACCTAGAAGAACGATATCATCCGCATAGTCTACATGACTATCCCCCCAGGTAACAAGTCAATCCCTAAGTTACTAAAGTCTATGAGTCATGATGCGATCAAACAAAAAGGAAGACAATAGGTATCCCTGATATACGCCAATGGTTGTCACCACGTGACATCTCTCCACAGGCTTTTACACAGCAATATGAGTTTCAATAATACCTTGATTAGTGTGACATACTTAACACTCTTCACAGCCAGATACTACTGCAGCACCACTTGGCCAACGGAGTTGAATGCCGCCATCCAGTCATGAAGTATGGCAGGCGTTGAACACACGTGAGTATGCCTATATTCTAGAATTTGTCGAAGGGTGAATATATGATCAATTGTACCACCAAAAGCAGGTAAAATGGGGGATTTTGTAAACAGCCTTAAAAGCAGGAAATAAGGAAAAGAACACTAGAATTTATATATGGGTGTTTGACTTAGAGAATGGAGATGTAGCTCAGTCGCCTAAAGAAACGACTTTCACCCGACGTACCGTCCCGCCTGATTCGGCTTGGGCAACTGCGCGGCATAAGCAGCTCACAGTGCAGTTCATAGCCTTTTACATATATACGCTTCGGTTATGAGTTCTAGCTAACTGCATATGACTCAACCAGTGAGTCGCGATCTCCCATGGTTCAAAAAATCATTTGATGTCACTAATCGCAAGGAGTCTGGCGCGGAGCTTCTTCGTATATGCAAAGTCTTACATTGTAAAGTATAATTATAAATATTACCAATAACAAAACTTATCATTGTGTGTAAACTACTGAAATGTAATTACACTTTATTTGACCTAATCCACAATGCTCAAACTTTTTACTGACATTAATCTTACATTGTACCCTAACAATTCACTCTTCAAACTCTAAAGAACCCGGTAAAGAAGTTCACACAGGTACAGGCTGCTTGGAATAAGTGGTTTCTTTCATACCACTGAATCTATTTTCCCGACATACTTCGAATTATTTCCATGTCGGACATCACTGTATATGTTGCACTTACTAATGCAACCAGTTAGTTTTAGTGGTCAACTAACCCTTCCCATTAGACTGAAACACTTTTACACTATATGTGGTTAATGCTTTGTGGTAAAACGAATGTTAGCTAATTCATTTTCGACAAATCAATCTTATAATCGCAATGAACAATAGATTATTATTTATTTAGGAAATAGAACAATTTGAAACGCGATCGAATGTTCTACCATCCACAAAATCTATAAATATGCAGACATTACTTAAGACAACTACAGCTATGCACAAATGGATAGTAGTACATATTGAGGTTATATACAGCAAGTGACTGGAAATCTCCGGTGACCATAATCAGCACAATTTTAAAAGCCTTCATGTGATTGGGTTAAAACAGAGTAGGAACTTAAGCATTTAGTGCATTATTTACACGAACACAGATAAAATGAACCAACAACTAGCCAAGAACATTCAATTACAAAAATGGTAGTCATTCTAATGTGTAAATCTTCACAGAAAATCAACACAGAAAAACGTTGAACTTTCTTTTCATTAGGATGCAACAGTCAAAGGAGCATGAACATTTGAGACAAAATAAATCTAAGTGTCAAGAAAATTAAACACGTCTGTCTGCCAAGTTTATGTACCGCTGAAGTGGTCACTATCGTAATGTCCAAGGTCTACAATTTACTACTACATATCTTTGCAAAAAAACGTTAACGTACTACATATGACTGATGTTTCTGTTGAAAGATAACAATTATAATAGTAGTAATAATCGCTTGATTGCGAACAGCACTTCTGATACAATATAGAATACTCAACATTCTAAAAAGGGTTCAAAGGAAGGCAACACGTATAGTTCACGGTATGACTAACTTATCATACGAGGAAAGACTAGACAGTTTAAATCTCTTCTCCCTGTCATACATACCGTAGGCAGAGAGGAGATTCAATCACAATGTCTAAAATTTTAAATAATGACTACAGACCTGACCTATTCTCTCTTTTCCTTCCCACCAGGTCGGAACACCTTAGAGGACGTAGCAGGAGAGTTCAAAAGCCAAGAAGAAATCATATTCCTATTGAGTAATGGTTCTCACATCGAGTTATAAACTCTTGGAACCGATTCCCAGAAGAAGTGGTGTCTGCAAACTCAACTGATTCGTTCAAAAAGGGTTTGGACAACCAGAGAAATTCACTAGAAAAGGATTAACCACAGGCTCCAAGCCTTCTATCCTCAACCAATAAATCTGAAATGTGAAACACCTACAGGATTAAGTTGTACGTACTCAGAAAGCACAGAAGTCTGTTAGCTCCCTAATAGCAAAAGAATTGACACTCGTTGACACGGGTGATTGCTAGTTGCATTACTCTATATTTCGACGTGCATAAATGCCGTGCATTGCATCATGATATTCACATATAAGTCAATTAGTTATGTCGAATGAGTCTTAAGATGCAATTCTGCACAATAAAATGAACAAGGATGTTAGAACATGCATATCTAGTACACTTGAGTAGGTAAATGCCAGTAATACCATCAACAAGCACTGGAGGACACTAGGTACTATAACACGAAACAGCCTGACAGTGAAAGTAAGTTAGGTCTCATATATAGCAGTTTATTCAATAATTAATTTGCAATAAATTAAATGAAAAATTTCCAGTTTTTAGACAATAGTACAGAGACTTGTTAAGTCGGATAGCAGAAAATTTATGTATAAAAGGTCACACTTATGACAAGTATACTAAAATTAACATCGAGAAATTGCTTACCATTTAGAAGAAAATCGATATTGGAGAAACGGACTTGATCTCCTTTCTCCTTATTAACAAGTCGCTGTCTTCGTTCCATTTCAGCCTTTTGAGCTGCTTTGGCTTCTTCGCTAAGACCATCCTCTTTAACTTTCCTATAATGCAGTTTCAAATTTAGAAAACATGTACTAACTTGATATTGCGTCTTTCAAACGTTTGTTTGCGTCGGCTTTTACGGGAATTTGATATTCCTGGGCTACCACCTGGCTTTTCATCCTGATTTTCATTGTCAGATAATACAAGTTCACCATCTTCAACCCTAAATTGACCTTTAACAGCTAACCCGCAAGTAAGTTAGTAGCATATGCTTACATTGTTCAGGTTGATCTTCACTCATGGGTGCTAGCGAACCTTGTTAAACCATCAATATATTCCCAAAAAAAATAGAACAGCCAAAATGAAGCAACAAAAGCTAATTATGTAAGGTTGAGAGTTAAAGGTACCAAACCCAATTCATTTAAACAACACAGGGTGCCATTTACACAGTAACAGATCGCAAACGGATCCTTTTTGAACACTAACCAATTAGTATTCTTTTAAAAAATTTCATTCAGTGATATTTTTCACTAATGAGGAGTTTTGTGACCAAGGTCTTTTCATTGTTCAATAGTGTTTCCATTTTCAGTAAACTTGCAAGATAGAGGGTACAGTTAAAAAAACATAGTATCTCCTTACATATGTCGCTATGTGACAACTTAGTTATACGTCTTTGATTCCAAAACTTAAGGACAAACTTTAGAGATCAGACTATTAATGGAACTAGGAACTAAATGAAGTAAAAAGTTGTTTGACTTGATATGATCATGGGCAATAGCTTGTAGTGTACATTGTGCCTTCGAACTTTCGTTTGAACGAACTCAACATGACATTTAACCCCACTTCCACTTTGTATTCGTGAATCTCCTGTACGGTTTCGGTTTCACTCTCTCGCTGTGCTTTCATCCAGCACACTCTCCGAGCTTACCACCGTCTCAACCGCAGATAAGTGTATACCTCTTATTTCTTATCAAATTCCATATCTCTTTTGTGTAAATACAATTCTGTTCCAGTCACACTTGCCATCTCAGGTCTTTTAACCTTGATCCCGTTCGTTAGTACTTGCACGTTAGGCAGAGTACGATTAAGGCCATAAGCGGTGAAGAAGTTTTGTAAGAGTGGTTATTGTTAGGTCGAAGTTGACCCAAGTCTAACTCTTACAAGCTTGTGCTCGAAACATTATCGGTTAATATTACTGTATAGCACTATGTGATTTATCAAAATGAAATCTTACCTATAATGCGAGAGCCTTTAACTGACAATCAAGAAACGAGCACAAAGAAATCAGATTGGTTTACACTAGCTTGCAAAGACGATAGTGGTTATTGGATGGAAAATAATCCACTATTGGCCTACAGCTTCCACCATTCAAATTTTGGTGCTGACTCTCACCGATTAAGTTGGTTGACAAATCTGAAGGCAAGCAACTACTAATCACTACTGCCTGGACTCATAGAAAACGTCATAGTTTTCCACGGTAAGACCAATATGGTTAGCATCATACATTGCAAATGTGCACTGTCATATCAAGTACTGTATAGCTTATTCTTGTATTTTTCTTGTAAATATACTTCCAATAATGTATTATTCATGATTGCATTTTATACCACTTTGTAGCTGTGCAGGATTTTCTCCTCTTCCTGAAATAGAGTTCAAGCACGTGGGGTCACTCACTCAAATATACGTTGTTTATCGATGGGCCATTACTATCATCAGGAAATGGAACGAAGCATGGGTTGTCGTTCAACTTCGATGGAGACCTTCGTGAAAGATTAACAGATTAACAATTATAAGAATCTGTTCCGACTGCTTGTACCATAATTCAACAATTTGAACTTTTTAAAAAGTGATAATGTATGCTAATTCACAATTGTAATTCGTAACATAATTGATCGTGCCTGTAAAAATGGCATGCATTTCATGTAAACTTACCCGTTTATACGAAATATAAATTATTATTATATGTCACGTTGGTTGAAATTTCGCTTGGAAAAATTATTTTGTCAATAAGTTTTAATAAAATTGTGTTATATGTTATCTGGATTAATGGAAATTCTCATTTCCTGACTAGTTATGTTGGTGTTCGCGTCATGTCATCTGACGGCGAAACACTCAGCATATGGGTTGCAATGATTAGTGTTTCAAGCGAACTGTGTCAAAATAGTGCTGTAATGAGCGAGATGCGATAGCCGGAGGGTAATGTCATCTACACAAATCGTTTACTCCATGTAGAAGCCGCACCTTTCGTGATAGTGTTATTCAATAAAGACTTCACGTCTCAGGATATCAATGTGACTCTTTTCGTGTGAAGAACAGTACTTTTTGACAAAAGAATGCTCTCACTGCATGAAAATCAACTGTAAATGCTAATAGAACCTTCTGTGGGAACCTAAGTTATCATGTAGATGTGTCTTTCACCGTATGTGTGCTTGGACAGGAATTATCGTAAGTTGAATGGTTATCTCTAAGTGAATTTAATATATATTTGCACTGATTGGTGCAGTGTAATATGGGTTACGTGGATTCAATGTAAAAAAGTCTCTACTTTACTAATATTGTGCCACTGTCTGCTTAGGTGGCTGCTAGGCTAACAAATGTAGGCGGTTCTCCTGATTGTTGCAAGTGCAGTGCAGTGAAGAAGGCAATTTTCCTCACTGTTTTACTTAGTGCATTAATTCATCGTATAGTAATATTATACACTTGTATTGAGTTGATTATGAGAACCGAATCTAGTTAGCTCCAATATTATTAATCTACCGTTTGTTATACAATTCCCAATGGAACTGTAAACTTAATACTGCAATATTTTTGATTACCAAGAGTGGAAATGAATTACTTTTGAGATTTCCATTTACGCAACCTAGTACAGATGTAGCATCACGATTGAATGTCTAGGTTGCACTACATAATATTGTTATCCTCATCAACACAGCAGGTCTGTGTGTCTTAAGATTTTTTAAGTATTTCTCTGTTGTTAACACTGTGCATAACTGTTTGGAGTTGGGGCATGTTCAGCTTATTTTTGATGGATACACTTTCCTAAATATGAGAACGTAATTTCTTCTAGATTCATAAAACTATGCCCACTAGACATTGATAAAATTGTGGATCAATTTCTGAGTCACACATTTGCAATATTTCCTTTAATGTAAACGTATCTATTGTGAAGTTGATCTGCAAGTAATCTTGATGGGAGAATGGTGCCTCAACAGTATGGATGTTTCAGATATAGTCTTGCAGTTTGCGTACAGTTCTCTAATACTATTTAGGCATACGGCGTCAATATAAAAACCAGTTGCGGACGACAAATACTTTTATTTGCATGGGAATAAATAAATAAATTTATTCTCATAGTACAGTACATGAGGGACGCCAGTTTACAGGCATCATCAAATTGTTACAGAAATAGAACCATATAATTCAATCACAATTTACAGGCGGCAGCAAGATATGCTTTGCATGTTCGCTGGAGATTATACATACACTTGATAAATGTTAATCCCAGTAGTATAAAACAGCATTTTCACTTATATGCAATCATTTCAGTGCAAAGTTGGAAAAATCTGCTAGATTGCCAGTGAGTGCAACACAACAGGAAATACAGGAGTATTGTCTTCGCATTAACAAAAAAACCAGGTCCTTGGTGGATGGATTATAAGTGCCTGGGGAAAAAATAAAGCTTGAAGTAAATATTCATACATAACTTTGTCGTGTGCAGAGTCCTCGAATTATAGTTCATTGATGTGTTATTTTGAAATCAGTGATGTGTTTATCTCATTTGATCTGCTATGTCATTGTTGGGAGTAAGTACATAAGCTTCGGACGCATTAATTAATGGATTTCTACTGCTTGTGGGTATTTTCTTAGCGTTAGGAAGGCTTATGAGTTTCAGCTGTTCCGACAGGAGTTGAGAATATTAACTGCTCAGCAACATTATGGATATAAGTTCATCACATTATCTAAGGAAAGGTGGGTTGCAGTTGGTGAGGGATATATGGTGCCCAACGAGATATATATATCTTGTGTTAGTGAAAAATTTTAAACATGTTTACTCTATGTGTACATTATAATCATATTGATGATGCCTGTCAACTAGAGTCCCTCATGTGCATAAAGTGAGAATATATTATTATAAGATACATTTCATTGTTATATGAGGGAATTGACTACAAGCTTTATTTATTTTCCCAAGTATCTGTAATCCATCCAAAACACTGTTGGGTATTTTGTTAATGCGAAGTCAGTATCTCTATGTTTCTTGATGTGGTCCATTGAATCACTAGTTATCAGAGCAGTAGGCAGGTGAAGGTCAGAGTGAATGAACATAGACTTTGCACGAAACGTCCACCTAGAAATGAAGTAGAACTAAAAAGTCTAGAAAAAAGATCGGCTACATCAATGCATGCACATGGTCCGGGGTTCGAGCCCCGGCCGACGCACTCCTTTACCTCGCTAAGCCAGAAATAATACTGGTGAAGAGGAAAGGTTGGGCATGAGGCTAGCAACCCCATCCTGTAAAATAAACACTGCTACAGAAACTTCAGGCCACTAGCTTGAAGCCCTATGTTCCACTGGGGAACGTGAAAGGATAAAAAAAAATATCAATGCATGCGATAGACAGCGGACATGAGATTGATTTCGACAATGTAGAAATTCTTGGAAGAGGATTTCATTCACATAAAGAAAGATTGACCTCTGAAGCCTTGCACATCTTAACCACGTCGAATGCAGTGAATAGGAAAGAAGGGATAGACCTATCACCTATATGGCAAACTCTTATGAAGCAAGACAAATGAAAAAACAACAAACACTCTATGAGCCTCCGTGACGTTTTAAAACATGTATATCTGGTTTATCACATATGAATTCACGTATTTTCCACATGACAAATAATATACATACATACACACACTCCTACAAAGTAATCTAAACAGATCATATATAGAAGAGGGAACACAACAACAGTTTGACATTAGTCAGGACAAATATATGTGATGACTGCTTACATATTTCTATTGGTAAAAATGTCCATAGACAAATGATCTTCAAATAAATTGACTTCAATTTACGTAAACCTTTTTGACTATATATTTTGATGATTAATAAAAATCCGAATAAATCTGCTGAAGAAGCTGTGGCTTACACAGCGAAATGTTCAGAAGAATCTTGTTTTGATTTTCTTAACACGCTGGGATTAATTTGAATAATTTATAATGAATCAATCTGACTCGGCGCTCAAATTATTCCAGGAAGTTCGTAACACCTACGGCCTGGAAACCTATAAATTATTATCTGTTCCTA